GATGGATCATGCGTGTTCGGACATGAATGTGGGCAACAAGCTTCATGCCATCTGCCCACCTGTGAACCGTTCCAGTAAAAATAACCTGCTGTGTCCATGATCACCAGAGGCCTCAAGGTTTGAGAAAACAGTCACATCAAACATATTCTTCAGAGGATGGTCTGTCAATAGAACTAGTAAATATGACCTTAAGCATAAACTCCAAAGACGTAGTAAGTGGATAGAGACCATTTTTCTCCATCACAAGCTACTCCTTACTCTCCAGGAGGAGGAAAGCAAAATGATTTTCCTCTTCCACACTGCTGCCCTGGCTAGTTCCACCAGCAGTTACGGTGACAGCAGCCAGTGGGCTTCCTAACAGCGGCTGCAGCCTTTCTTCTCTGCTTCTTCGTGTTCCCCATGGATCGAACCAGCACCACAGCTCCACTCAACGTGCCTGTGAGCCTCTGCGTGTTTGAACCTAACTTGTTTTCTTTTATCTATAAATACAAAAATAAATTATTTAAAACCTACCAAGAGCGCTTTGGCGGGACTCTTTTCCAAACAGCAGGAGTGCTCAGTAGTTATGTCCGTACCGTGAAAGGTTTGGTACCATTTTACATTATCAATATTATGAAGAATTATCAACCAGTATTATCACGTGGTTACCATTCATTCATTGATTTATTGAGCACCCATGTGGTAGGCAATGTGCCGGGAGCCAGGGACACCACAGGGAACGAGACAGATATGACCTCATGGAGATGACACTCTTGCTGGGGAGAAAAGCAGACGATTCTTTACTATTTACTTGTTAGGTAACAATGGTGATAAGCACAATGAGGGGAAAAGTGTGAAGTGTAAGCATAACATGTCTTCCAGGATAACCTGACCTCACTCTTTGTTTGGGGGATGGAGGGCCATGGATGGTTTTCCTTAAGACAAGGCTTGTAAGCTAAGCTCTGAAAGATGAAGATGCAAAAAAATAAGTAAAATTTGAAAGGAAGAGGAGAGGATTCTGTAGGAAGGAGAAGCATAATTACTAATGATAAGAACAAAAGCCACTCTTTTTACCACTGTTTTGCTTTAACTGTCCTCTCTATTGTTTCACCTTTGGAGGAACTACAGATTTTTCACGCTCAGGATAATTCAGCAGGTTAATCTTGAAAACAAGATGTGCTTTCCTGCAGATTTCTCGAGGTTTTGCATGAGAAGTTGGCTTTCCAAACTCTGAAACCACAGAGCCGTGACCATATACAGCCAGCTCCTAACACTCCGCACCGCACTTTTGTTTGGAGAGAGACAGCTACACTAAGTTACTATTTACGAAGCAGCTGCTGTGTGCTGGTGGGCCAAGTGCTCTAAGTATGTTATCTCATTTAATCCGCAACAGACAGGAACCATTGCCACATCTCCACTTTACAGATAGGGAAACTGAGGCACAAAAAGGCTGACTCATCCAAGGGCACCCGGCTCCTAAGTGGTGGAGCAGGACTGGGACCACAGCGTTCAGAAGACCTGAAAGTCACCACGAATGAGGGCCTCATCCCAACTTCCTGCTGTTCACCCAGTACAGCCTGTAATGTCACAGCTCCACGCCTCTGCTCAGGCCGTTTACCTAGAACGTGGATTATTCCTTCTCCCCTGCCCACATCCTCCAATAAACGTGTTTTCCTTTTAAGACCCACCTTAAACACTACTTCCATTGTAAAACATGCTCCTTTCTGAGATTAGAAACTATAAAGATCAAGGAATGAAGACAAAAATAAAGGGCAAAAGAAGCTGTTCTTGCTGTGACCTGATAATCTTCCAGAAAGAATCGCTCAGAAGCAAGGCAAGAAGTTACCTAGGGAAGTTGCTGAAAGAAAAGATACAGAGGCATCTCTGGGCTGCCTCTAGGTGCGAAGCACAGGACCAAGCAACTGATTTGCAAATTCTGTTTCTCCTAAATACTCAGGAGGAATGGTCTACGTGTTGCACCAATGTGTCCAAAGGGCCAAACTGGGCCTCCCCTGGAACAAGGCTTCGTCAGCATCCCACGCCAGCTGGGCCACAAGTTCAATGGGAGTTTATGTGTTAGGCTAGACCCAGCCCTGGCAAAGCCACCGCCTGATAAAGACAGACAACTGAGTCCGGATCAAGGGAGGCCAGAAAATGAATCGGGGGAGGGGAGGTTTTATAACCAGCGAGAGGGAGCAAACAAAAGCGGCTCATTTCCACAAGCTTCACTGGATTTATATTTAGCCTTCCCATTCTCAGTAATTGAATGTATTATTTATTTTGGCCAGCAATTGCTGTGTGTGGCTTTCCGAACAATAGGCTTTTAAGGTTTAGCACTACAGCATTTAGAGACTCAAGTAAAAAGCATCGGATAAATTATTAAACATGAAGTGGACACCACACTCCCGCTCCCCTGCAGTAGCTCAAAGGGAACGATGAGGCAGAGGAGGAGGCCAGAGCTCTGTCACCGAGGGCGCTAACCACGCACACGTGGACCGGGCTGTTCTGACACTGCTTACCGCTCGGTGTGGTCGAGGGCATTACAGGCAGCACAACAGAGAAGCAGCCATTCGCAGCTCTCCTCGAACCGTTCTGGGGATCAGTAAGGCTTCGGGGAGGGGAGAAGCCTTTATTTAGCTAGAGAATTTCTGTTTTGCTTTTTTTTTTTTTAAATAGCATGAGACCCTACAGGGGATCTGGTCATATCACCTCGCCTGCGACCTACAACATTCAAGATCGAGGTTCTGAGTTTATAAAGGTGAGAGAAGAAAGATCTAGGCTTCCAGGGCCTCTACTTGCAGTTCCCAGCTCTGGGATCCGCAGCTCACAATCTGTTCCCAGTGTTGCAGGCGACACAAACTCAGGCATTCCCACATGGGTCTCCTGTTGCTGAACTTTCTGGAGGGAACCAGTTTATAATAAGATTTAAAATTTCGAACATCCAACCTAATCTCATCTAATCATCACTTTGCACATCCTCAGGTTTTTGTCTTCGTTTCTTGCTGACCTGGGCTCCCGACCACAGCAGGCGCCAGGGGAAGTTTCACGTTTCCCAACACACAACACAAGGAGGGCAGGCGCCCGCTCTTGTGGGAACTGCAGTCCTGGTGGGCAAAGGAGGTGTCCAGACAGTAAGCAAGTAAAGGGACACACACAGAAAACGTCAGAGCACGGTGAGCACAGGACAATCTTGAGGAGGATGGTACAGAGCACGACAGATCAGGGAGGTGCACCCACTTTAGCTAAAGTGCACAGGAAAGGCACCCCCTAAAAAGACAAGGCTTGATTCTCATCTCCTGCCTGGTAATTAAAATGCAAATGTCTGGGGGAAGATCATTCTAGCAAGAGGGAGCAGTAAGTGCAAAAGCTCTGAACTGGAAGACAGCTTAGTGTGTTTGAAGAACAGAAAAAAGCCCGTGTAGCTAAAGCATGCTATGAGATGAGGACAGAGGCTGGCAGGCACCAGGTCACGTGGGACTTACAGGCAAGGTACTCGGTTTAATCCCGAATGTGCTGGAGTCCCTAGAAGCCGAAAACAAAACCAAGCCGAGTTTTAAACGGTTCTTGGGTAGCAATCATTTTTGCAGAGTTCAGTGCCCAGAGCTAGCCCAGGTGAATCAAGACACAGATGATCACCAGAACTGTCACGCTAACAGACGGGGGAAGGGCGACTCTCTGACCAACGCAGAGCGCCCATGCAAACCAATGGCAGCAAGTGGTGAGTCGCTAATCCTGGCATAAACCGTGATGTCAGGTGGGAGGAGACGGGGAGGTCACACAGTCACAGAAAACATCAGTCCCTCTCCTACAGTGCGCCAGAAATCCCCACACTATTCACAGAAGCTTCCCGTTTACATGGCACAGACTGTCTATCAGAGTGGTCAGGGGCCCAGCCGTGAGTCAGATCAGGGGCCCAGGGCTGGTTCAGAGATCCCAGGCAAGCCACCTGCCACCCCTGCCTCAGTATTCTCACCTGGGAAATGAGGCACCAACCACAGGACAGGCCTCCCGTGGCTGCTGGAAGGATGAATTGAGACAATACGTGCAAAGGGCTCGCCACATAACAAACACTCCTGAAGCATCGCCAGGATTTCCTTTACTCTTTGTGGTACAGCCTGCCAGACAGACACCTTGCTGCTGAGCTGCTGGGGCTCTGCCTGCGCACCCTGGGCACACGCTGTCCCAGGAGGTGACAAGGGTGTCCCCCAGGAAACACTTGCAACCCTCTGCCTGAGGGCTTTCTCTTGGCTCAGGCGTGGAGCAGGCCAGAGTGCCAGGGAGTTGATGGCCCAGGCACAGCCTTCGGTCAATGACAGATGGGAGTAAAGGGTAGATAACCCGCTTTCCTCGCCCCTCAGGTGGGTTACACCAAGGCCATATGACAACCCCTCCCAGAGATCCGTAGTGGGAATGTGTCTCAGCTGCCACAGAGAAACCTGCCCACTGGCACACCCTTGGCTGGCTTCCTTCCCTTCCTGGTCTCACCTCCCCACCACCCCACTGATACTTGCCAGGATCACCTCCCAAATAAACTACTCGCACACATCCTCGCCTCTAGGACAGCTTCCATACAAGAACCAGTCCTGAGCAGAACTTTTATCCCTAACTGCAAGCTGTAGGGGATTCATTCTATTCCCATTAGCCTCTACTCCCGGGGTTTCAAACACACACCAACAAAAATAAACATGAACCTGCTGGGATGAAGCTGTCCTCACTTCTAAAATTCTCTAGGCAGACATGGCCTACAATGTTGGAGCTGCCTGAGCGGGCCTGTCTGAGACAGATTTAAGGAGGTCCCTGCAGGAAAATACCCACACTCTGCAACCTGTCTGACTCTCTGAAAGTGTGTGTGTCTGACGTGCTTCCTGCTAAAGAAATAGATTTAAAATTCACCATTTATTGATCGCTGCTTCTTTCTCTTTCTCCTTAAAGGAATCTCTCCACACACACACACACACACAGTGCTGAGTCGGCTTTCCTAAGCAGCCAGGGAGGGCTCAAAGGAGAGACTGCTGGCTTACCTTGGGAGAGGCACTGGTTGGCCAAGGCCACCTGGCCAGAATGCAGGTAGAGATTGAGGCGGGCGAAGATCCCCACCAGGGAGGGAATGGTAATGAAGCAGTAGGCAACACAGGCCTAGGAAGAAGGGCAGAAACGCAGCAGGTGACATTGGCAATGCCATCACGGTAGATTAATACTGTTTTCACCCATCATATATTTTCAAGTAAAAACACTTAAAATAATTCATCTCCCCATTTTGAGCCTCAATTTTTGCTTCTTGCCTCTGCTGTATCTGCCTCTTTGGAGGGAGGTGGAGGGGGAACTAAGGAGAGTAACAGTGTATGACAAATAGATACTCACCCATCATCGCAAGAAGTAAACAGATAACACAATATTGAGAAGTTAAGAGGCAGGCACTTAAGCCAATTACTTAAAAATATAGAGGTAATTAAAGAAATTGCTAAAAGTTTGAGGCGGTTGACTCTGAGGCAAGAGGCACAAGAAGAGAAAGGGCAGGGCTGGGGTGCTTACTTTTCACTGCAATGTTTTTGGTAGGATTTCATTTTCAAAGACATGGATATGTATTGCTTTGATAAAATTTTGAGCAGCATACTCAATAAGCAGAAACTTGTTTTCCAAGTTGAGGACTTCTCCAGAGGCACAAAAGGTAGCAGGCCTTCCAGTCTGTAACTGGAGCCTGTGCACGAGCCAGAGCGCCCAGCCAACACGGAAAACACCAGCTCCATCTCAGCCACCTCCCCATGACATGCACCCAAACCCACTCCTCTCATCGCTTCTTCTGAAAACGTGAAGAAGACTGGCCAATCCACAGATATGCAAGGAAAAATCAACCTGGAAAATCAATACTAAACCAGCTTTATGACTACTTGTCTTTTTCTGGGAACAGCAATTTAGAAAGATGCAAATGGAACAGCCTGAAGGAGTTCAAAGTCTGCGAGTCTTATCTTTAGAACGTACCCGGACAAATGCAGCCGTCTTTCTGGAATGATTTCCTTTCATGACTTTTCTTGTTTCCATTGCCAACCGGTTCACACTCTAGATTTGTTAATAAGTAAAAGAGAAATGGTAATGAAATGATGGCTGATTTAGATTAAGGTCTCTCACAGAGATGTGGACATTAACTGCACATGAGTCAATGAGCACAAGCTGACTAGGACTAGGACTGGTTAGCACCGAACCCTGGAATGCCAAAGGGGTCAGCAGGCCTGATCCAATCTCGCCTTGAGCAAACATCTCGAAGCGGGTGAGAACAAAGGCGCCCATGGCGAGTTAGTCATGCCTATCAACCAGCATCATAAATGCCCCCCTTCTGGTTTAATGTATAGCCAGGGATGGCTCACTCCATTTCCAAAAATCCCACACACTAGGCTTAAGATCTTAGATATCTTAAAAGAAACCTCCAAATCTGAGAGCAGACCATATAATTTAGCTGTGCAACACTAACAAGGACCATAAGAACTGTAATAACGGCAGCATATCATCACTTACAGCCTGCCGGTGCTGTTCGAAGGGCTCCACATTCATTAAGTCATTTAATCCTCACACCCACAAGCTGAGTCCTACGACCTCCCCAACTTACAGATGAAGTCTCTACTCTTAGGACTAAAGTTTAGTAATGCCGCATAACCTAATAACCGGCAAAAAAATATGTACAAAGTCGCTCTCCTTGAATTTACATGAAGCAAATGAAGAACATTTGGAAATCTTTCCACAGATACGAAAAGTTTGGACTTATGCTTCCCAAACAATGTACCATGACCCCCCCCCAGGTGCTGTAGCAAACTCATAGGGGTGCCACATCTTTTTAAGGAAAACGCAGCAATGCTCAATTGTTGAACGCTGTGCAAAGCACGGGTGTGAGGGAGCTCAGATTCAGCACCAGACTGCATTACATTCCTCGCAGTGACGTCACACCTTTGTGAAATGGGGTTTTGGCAGCTGCTGTGATAAAAAGTACTGTAGAAAAAAAATCATTGAGGAACAGGAAATAAAGGTAGTGGTGTCCAGTACAATTCCAAGGTTCGAGAAGTTGTGCAGTGCCCAATGGGCAGACATACTTCATTAGCAAGTAATTATGGTTTTAAACCAATTGACATATATTGTTGTTTCAAAGGGCTACTAAGTTGTTAGGGCAAAAATACTTAAGTTGTTCGAGCCTAACGTCTTAATAAACAGAACTGTTCTCTCTTTCTTTCAGCCTAGGGGCACCATGAAGAGTTACTGAAAGGAGCCATGATCCAAGGAGGTGGGACGCTGGTTAGACAACAATGGAGTCTATCTAGGTTACTATTTCTGCAACTAAATCATCAGTGCAACTCACTTAATTCTGCTGTTGGCATGCAGGAACCAGAATATGCAAATTTCAGAGAAAAAGAGGTCAATAAAAACCATGCAACGACTTAAGCAAAGTTGTAGATTTTATTGACCTTTAAGAAAACACCTTTCGTATCTGTTCCCAAGGTATGGGGCCAGAAGAATCCCAGATTAAAATCGGTGCCTGGCCTAGAGATGAGGAATAAATATTTACTGAGAGAACAAATGAATGAATGAAAATCCTTACGTGAATCAATTGCACAAGAACGGGTTCCAGATTGCAAAACATCGACCTGGCCTCAACGTAAAAACTTAGCTGTTGTTCAAAATCACGGCCAAAGGAAACCTAGAAGCAAGGAGAAAGACGCTGACGATGTTATCTCTAGGCCACTGGAAGTGCACAATTGGGAGAGTTTTTCCTGAGCTTCATGTGGTGGGGAAGGAACTTTCATGACAAGTCATCCAACATCCCACAAATACAAATGGGTGGAAGTGTTAAGGGTGCCCAAGGAAACACACACATACGCACGCTGGAATACGCTTGAACTAGACTTGACTTTACTTCGCCCAGCATATACCCAAAAAGTTACTATGACCACCTCATCTGTATGGCACGGGCACTGGAGTAGAACATAGAGAGACCAAAGGGTATAAAACACAATCTCAGAACGTAGCTAGGATTTCCCAGGCTAGAACGAAACCACTGGAAAGGAAACAATGGAATTTTGTTTGTCAACTGCGGCCTTTTCACAGGACATAAATTTGGTTGTTAGGAGCCATTTGTCAAGAGGGTTTTCCTAATAAGAGCCACATCTTTCTGCTTCCTGATGGGGATTCCAAACTCAGCAGCTCACCAGTGGCTGCCGGGGCCATAGATGGAAGTTTCTCCACCATTAAAAATCCCCTCTTCTCCTGTTTCTTCAAATTTATGACCAGCTGGTCAGTGGGACAAACTTTACTGCTACAGGGATCATTTTGGTCCAGAGGAGGTTTAACACGGCTATTTCCATTACAGCTATCAGGTTCCACCTCTCATTTCCTCACATTCTTTTCCATTGTAACTGGGTGGCTTTCAGACAAAGGGATATAAAAGGATAAATACCACATGACCCATATATAAATCAAGGGCACAGGAGAGGCTTCTGATAACAGCCATGGGGACATTTCCTAACATGGGAATTGAAAGGCTAATCCTGAATTTTCATCCAAATTGGTATTTTACCTACAGTCAAGTGGACAGTTAAACCGACCCCCGGTGTCGAATGAGTTACATTTTCAAGGTTATTTTCAAAACGGTCTCGTTATTTTCATTTCTGTCAGCTTTTGTCAACATTTCTATTAAAACGGAGGGTCCTGCCAGCAGTTGGTATTTTAGCTCTGTGCACCAAGGATGAAGGCAAAAGGTTGTTCTGGGTAGGATGGCGTGGTGGGTTGTTCCCAAAGAAGGCTGCAACAACCCCTCCCACTCTGCTGTCCTCTTGCAGTGTCCCTGTGGACTCTCCTCCTTCAGAGGTGGGGTCTAGTTTCCCTCCCCTCCAAGGGGCCGGCCCTGTGACTTGCTCTGACCAAGAGAATGCAGCAGGACGCAGCAGCGGTCACCGTGTGATTGCTGAACCTCGGCTCAAGAGGCCCTTAGCTTCCACTTGTGCCCTCAGCACAAGAGAGAGCTCAGCTGAGATGACTGAATGATGAGACAGCAGTGGAGAGAAAGAGGTCACACGGATGAGAAATGAGACGTCCTAGCCAGCAGCAGCACCGAGACTCCAGACACATGAGTGAGGCTGTCCTGGATCCTCCAGCTCCGATTGCCATGCCAGCTGACATGACACGGAGCAGCCTGATTACACAGCCAACTCACAGAATAGTGGAAATTAACAAAACACTGTTATTTAAAGCTACTAAGTTTTGAGGTGAGCTGTTACACAGCAATGGGTAACTGAAATGGATGGAGAGTGGACTCCTGGCTTTTAGCACCCCAGCATCATTTCCACCATCTTCTGATGAGCAGCACATTCCAGACCACGTGATTCAGGTTGCTCAGACGTGCACATCTCCCTGGCCTGGCCAATCGGTGTGTTTGTTCCCTCTCACAGCAGCAATTCTTTCAGGGATGGGCCAGTGACCCCAATTAAGCCAAAGAGACTCAATCCCGGGACTTCTGCAGGAGCCCGTCCTGCTGGGCTGCAGAGCTGGAAGGAATAGAAGCCTAGAGCTCCCGTGGGGAGTGAGCCTGCCTGGGAGGAAGCCAGCAGAGCAGAGCCATGAGCCAAAGACACGCACACAGAAGGTCCTGATGACACCACGGAGACCCCGAGTCCAGCTGCTCCTTTGGAGAGTTCCATCCCTGGACTTTTCGTCACATGAGCCAGTAAGCCCCCTCACCCACCCTCCCCTTTTTATTTTTTCCTTAAGCCAGTTTGTCTTGGCTCTCTTTGCCCCCAGGGGAGTGCTGGCTAATGTAAGATGTTTTCTAATTTCATCTTATCTCAATAAAAATGAAAAGCACCAGGGAACATGATCTTAACTGCTTCCCCCAGAATAAGGACAAACATTACATCACATTTCCAAGCACACTGAAACTTCTCCCCCAATACGTACCATTTTTATAAATCCATTAATCAAATACGCCAGCATTCTTTTCTCATCCTCAAGAGTGAGTGCACTAAAATCAATAATGGTACATAGTTAACACTGGGGTGAGAAATGAAAGTTCCTAAACAAAAAAAGATACAGGGAGTAAGCAATTTAACAAGTAAGAACATTTTACATTTACACAGGCTGTGTTTCTTTTGATGAAAATATGTAATCTAAATTAACATAATTTCAACGTGTGTCGCATCTCTCTCAAAGATGCTGTGCTCAAGATATATTTATTAAGGGCAAAAGAGAAGGTAACTTTATCTTCTTAGGAATTTGGGAAGCGACACCCAACTTCAAATGTTGTATTTCAGAGAACTTTTGTTCATCATTATAAAAAATTTCAAACATGCAGCAAAGCTGAAAGAATTTGAGAGTAAACACCCATATACCCATCACTAAGATCGTACCCAGTATCATTTACAATATTTGCTTTATCACATAACTATCCATTCCCCTCTCCATCCATCAATCCATCTTATTTGGGGGATGCATCTTAAAGTACATCACAGATCTCAGTTGCTCAGATTTCATAGCAAATTTAACACAAATACAAATAAGAAAATGCCAAGTCCTTATAGTTTTGATTTTACAAGTGAAAGCCTATAAACAGTCCCTCAAATTTATTTTTAAAACATTTTAAGAGCCCAGAGAAAACAGAAACCAAGGCTTTTGTTTGTTGATTTGTTCTAGGGGAAAATAAGTATTGGCAAAGACTGCATACTGTCCTCCAAAATGCAACGTCCCCTTCGTTCTTTGAGACGACATTTCCTAGCCTCCTTTGTAGCTAAGTGTGGCCATGTGACAGTTCTGGCCACTGGGATGTGAATGTAGGTGATGTGTGAGCCTTCCAAGTTACATTCCTAAAAGAAAACTGCTGTCCTCCAATGCCTGCAGGCTGTGACATGGTCAAGGTAGGCCAGCTTCCACCAGGAAGACAAGGATGACACTCCAGAGGGATGGCACAGCAACAAGACAGAAGGAACCTGGGTTCCTGGATGCTGTTCTAAAGCAGAGCTACCCGACTTCCACCTTTTGGCCTCAGACTCAGCAAGAGAGAAATAAACCCTCTATCTTACTTAGGCCCAAAACCAATATTCACCTAACGTGAGTGCCTTTCTGGATGTTTTTTGTGCCTTTATTTCTACTTTTGTCCAACTGAAACCTATCAGTTCCATTTATTATGAAAAGTCTTGATATTTTGCTTTTTATAACTACTCACAAAGTTGAAAGCACAAAGTCATGGAAATAAAGACTCTAAAATTCAGAGGGAAAAAAAAAAAGAAAAGAAATACAATTCATTGTGTTGATGGGTAAGTTCCAAAACAATTTTCTCAATTCTTGTAACATTTTCCATTGAATCAAGCTGCTGTGTTTAAAAATGCTTTGGGGACTAAAATTTCAGCCACAAATAAGCAGGAATTGCCTGAAGCACAGTCAAATGGAAACAGGTCAAAAAAATAAGAAAAAAACTAGAAAGCAAAGGAGTGATAATTGGGTCTTTGGCCCAAAGCTAAGGCCCATGGATAGGTCTGAGCCTCAAGTAAACTGAACAAAATAAAGTCCTTCATGTGAAGAATATAAACAATTGCATTTGAATTTCAAATAATTGGCTAATGAGAAAAATGTAAAGCCTATGTTACTGGGGAGTGAACGCAGTATTACACTATCTGCTGCTCTCAGATCTCCAGGAGACAGCGAGTTTGAGTTCACTTGGATGAAGCCAGCCTTTTCCTCCCAACAGAAATGTCTCTGTAAAAACATCTGCCATCTCATTTACTTAGGAAGGTTACCCTCAGCCTCCCTCCGCTCCTGGACGGGAATGTCCTCGTTAGCAGGAATCTTAATAGACCCCATAAAATAATATTATTCACAGTGGCAGCTTAAAGCAGTAATTCCCTTCTGTACTATTATGTGGTATTAAGACCCAACCCATGTTACGCTTCAGCCTTGAGCGTGGCTTACTTCACAGAGTCATGCATGGTCTTGCAAACGTGCAAAAGGGCGTTCAGAATGACGGGGTCCTTGGTGGGCTCTTGCTGATGCCTAGGAGACATTTAAAGATAAAAGCCATGTACATGAGAGCAATGAAAGCATGGATTTAGTTCTTATCTACTGCATATATTTAAGAAGCAGCAAATTATCTGGGTGGCATTTAACATGGCCCAGTTCACCAGTAATGGGCAACGTTCTGGTTTTCTCTTCATTCTTCTTTAAATAACAAGTTTGCTCTTCAACACATAACTTCTCCTAACTGCGAAATCATGGTAAAACTGCTACATTTCCTAAGCCAGGCAAAGAGCAAACCTGTTTTCTTATCATGGTCCTTGAACCTTCTGAAGCTGTCTACAACCTGTCTACAACTGTGTTAAGTGCCAGGCAAAATTATTAATTTGGCTTTTCAAATAATATAAAAGGACAAGCTCTTTTAACAAATCTTTATGTAGGTAAAGTAGGTATAAATATATGGAATTTAAGAAGCATATGGAATTAATCTTTTAGAAAGATAACAGAAAAGTTTAAAACATGTAGTCAGGCAACATCTAACTCAATTTTCCAAACTGTGGTTATTTCAGTTCCATCTTAACATTTTTTTTTACCATATCTACTTAATATTTAATTTCAACTTTTTTAAAACTCAACCTGTCCTAAAAAATAATATACATGAAATCACCGATTAAACTACTTATACATTATCTACTATACTTTAAAATAAATATACAACTTTTAAAATAAAAATAAAAATCTCTCCCTCGTGTACCACCTAAATTTATTTCACGTACCATGAGCAGTAGGCAGTTTTGGGAAACACAGATTTAATCAATACAATGAAGGGAACTAAGTTTGAAAACTGATCTCAAATCTAAACATTAAGGATGGGAACCCTTCTGGCTCTGGTGTGCTGATAAGCAGCACTTTAATCAGTAGATTGCACCTTCCAAAAACACACTGGAGTAAACAGCAGATGATGGTCAGGCTACTACTAATAGCTATTACTTTGTCTTCTTAAGCACTAACTATAAACTTTTATCATAACTGCTCCTTTTAATGTGGTTTTTCTTTCAACATTATTTTAGGCATGAAATATGTACACATCACTAGGCCTCAAAATGCATAAATGGATTTCTTATCTACAGGTTTCACAAAGACATCAGGAATCGAAGCTTCCAATTACAATGTGTCACTCATCACTTACTTGATAAAAACTTCCATGATGCATTTGCAAACCTCCACCCGCACACTCTCCTTTTGGAACATGTCCAGAAATGGCAGAAATTTTTCCTAAAAATAAAAAAAGCACCCCACATGCAATTCACAGGAGTCACTGGAAGGAATCTGTGGGTCGCTTTTTCTCTGAAGGACAAAACAGAGGAAGAGCTGCTCATCTCTCTGGGCGGGTCAGATGAAGACCATCTGAAAGCGGGAGAGGCCCGAGGTTTCTGAAAACAATTACTATTAAAACCGCTCACATGTGCCCCAGGGATGAGGTCACATGTGACCAGCTAACACGTTGGTGAACATCTGCAATCTTTAGATGACCATAACCTTTTCTTCAGTCTCTTTACGACCGTGTTGACAAGCAGAGAAAGAAGAGTCAGTTGTTCAGAGTGTGGCCTCTGCATCCTGACTCTACAGTAGTGCCTGTGTGACCTTAAGCAACTTACTCGACCTCTTCCAGCATCAGTTTTCTCATCTGTAAAGTGGGACTAATAACTACTCTTCTTCCCAGCAGTGCTGAGAAAATGATACGAGACAATGCATGGAAAGTTCTAGCACAGTGCCTGGAGTATGGTGAATGTCCAACAAATAAAGCTTCTATTATTAAATAAACAAAAGAAATAAAGTCTTAGTCCTATGAGTGTACATCCAGGGGAACAGGGAGAGGGCAGGGCGCCAGGGAAGAGGGCCACTCAGGGAAGGGGCGGGGACGTCACTCTACAGACAAGCACCTAGGTCTGCACTTGCCCAGAGCACCGCAGCAAACTCGAAGGTGGTCGCAGGCTATCTTAAATTTTGAGGGAAACATAATAAATGTCAACTCTGTCAGACATTGAGACAACTTTCAACTCAATGTATTTCCTAGTTTCTCATTAGACTGTGTGATAAAAAGCAAGTATCGCGTGAAAATCACCGTGGAAGAGGACAACCAGTTCGATTCCTAGGTTGGAGAAGCTGTGTGGTGCCCAATAGGCAGACACATCCCATTAGTAAGTAATAAACGAAATCAAGATCATATTTTCCTGTCAGTCCATGTGCATTGCTTTTTCAAACGCTGCTGAAGGTATTATGACATCAATACTTAAGTTGTTTAGATCTAACTGCTTCATAAAGAAAAGTTCATAAGAGGAACAGTTAAGAATTTCTTTCAGCCTAGGGTGCCAAGAAAAAACTGAGACATTAAGGGAAGCTCTGACTCAGATGCCAATTTCCAAAGATAACTAAGAAATGTTACTTACCACTGAGAAAAGAACTGAGAAGTCATGGAAGTGGGCGATCACTTTCTTAATTATTGACTGAAGCTGCAAAACAAGACAAAACACACATCGTGTTTAATAAAACTTGGATGTTTCCAAAAAGGCAACCCTCTTTTATACTCTGCAATCACGTTACAGGAAGGGAAACCTGGACTGTGCAAGGACTGGGGAATTGCTAGGTCAGGTCAGGCCCGGTCTCACTCTGAGGTGCACCATCTTATTCGATAGTCCTGGGGAGACGAATTCTCAGCCTCCACTTCCTCTTCTGCAAAATGGAGAGCCAAGCAGTATCTTACTCATGAGGAGCAAATGGGACGGTTCAGGTCAAGTGCTGAGAGCGGTGCCTGCCCTTCAAAGCTCTCCATTCATGTCAAGTGTGAACATTCAAGGAGTGGGCAAACTTGTTCTATAAAGGGCCATACAGTGATCACAACTACTCATGGCTGCTGTTGTAGCTCGAAAGCATCCACAGCCAACACATAAACAAATGGGTGTGGCTGGGTTCCAATAAAACTTTATTCACAAAAACAGGTAGTGGGCTGTGTATGGCCACAGGGCCCTAGTTTGCAGACCCCTATTCTAGGTGACTGTGGCTCCGTGTTTCTTTTCTTTCTTTTTTTTTTCTTGAGGAAGATTAGCCCTGGGCTAACATCCACGCCAATCCTCCTCTTTTTGCTGAGGAAGACTGGCCCTGAGCTAACATCCATGCCCGTCTTCCTCTACTTTATACGTGGGATGCCTGCCACAGCATGGCTTGATAAGCAGTGTGTAGGTCCACACCTGGGATCCAAACCAGCGAACCCCAGCCTGCCAAAGCAGAATGTGCCAACTTAACCACTACGCCATTGGGCTGGCCCCAACCCCGTGTTTCTTGACTACTTCAGTGGAGAGGCATGGGACAGAGTTTGCCAGTGGCATCAAGGCCACTTCACTACCTGAGGATGGTGGCACAGTCTGTGAGGTCTGCCCCAGACACCCAGGCACTGAGGCCCACCACCCCTCACTCTGAGATGCACACAGTCCTGGGGCCAGGGCCTTGGGACGAGAGAAGAACCAAGAAGCTGCTTTTTTCTAAATAAAATACAAACCCCTGCCGCTGGTTACTGTCGGGAAGAGAAAATTTACTGATAAATACTTAGTTTATGCTAAAAATATTGCTGTTTAAATCCTTTGCAAAGGCAATCACTCATGTTCTAAAAATACAAAATATTAAGAAGTACGAGCCCCATTTCATAATTAAGTAGCTTACTAGGTCAAGTAAAAGACACTAAAGGACTTCAAAACTTCATGACAAACAATGCTCCAAGGCAGAGCATTGTAACATACCGCAATACTGTCTGCCTACAACAGTGTCTGAAATCCTATCCACAGCAACTAACCCCTTTAGAACAGGAAATTTTTTTAATACTTAAGTACAGTTACACATAATGCATTTCCTGATTTAAAAAGACAGGATTTTTTTTCCTTCAACATTTCACTATGAAAATGCTGAAACATAAAGAAAATCCACGGGGCCGTCTCTGTGGCCGAGTGGTTAAGTTTGTGCGCTCCACTGCGGCGGCCCAGGGTTCGGATCCTGGGCATGGACATGGCACCGCTCGTCAGGCCACGTTCAGGGGGCGTCCCGCACCCCACAACTAGAAGGACCTGCAACTAAGATATACAACTACGTACGGGGGATTTGGGGAGATAAAGCAGAAAAAAAAAAAAAGAAAAGAAGATTGGCAACAGTTGTTAGCTCAGATGCCAATCTTTAAAGAAAAAAGAAAAGAAAATCCAAAGAACATAAAACAAACACCCAATCACTCACACCCAGATTCTCCCATGACGAACATTTTGCCTCATTTCCTCTATCTCCTCACCCACCCCTTCCATCTAATGGTAGAATTTGTAAACACACAATCCATGCACATTTTTTAACTTTTTATTTTGAAACAATTTCAAACTTGCAGAAATGTTGAAAGAATAGTACAGAGAACTCCCATATGCTCCTTACTCAGATTCACCAATTTTTTACTATTCTGCCAAATTTGCTTTAACATTCTCTCTATGTAACATGTTATTTTTTTCCTGAACCATATATGGGACTGCATGTATCACGTCCCTCACCCTTCATACTTCATTTGTATTTCCTAAGACTAATTATATTCTCTGATGTTGCCACTTAGCTGTTCTCAAATTCAGGCAAGTTAACGTCAATATAATCTTAACACTTTTTATCTATCATCCATATTCCAAGCTTAGCAACTGTCTCACCACGTTCTTTATAGCATTATTTTTTCTTCTCTTTGGTCCAGGAGCCAGGCCAGGAACGTGCACTGCATCTCGTTTTCAGGTCTCTGGAGTCTGTGTTGATTTGGAAGAGTTCCTTTCTTTGCCATTATGACAGTGGTATTTTGGAAGAATACAGGCCAATTACTTTAGAGAATGCTCCTCAGTTTAGGGATGACCGATGTTTCCTCATGATTAGATTCCATCGTGCATTCTCGACTGGAATGCCACCTACATGATGCTGTGTCTTTCTCAGGGGACCTCATCTGCAGGGACACGGTATGTGGATTTTGATGTGAATTTTGATGAGCAGGTCAATGAGTGTCCGAGTTCCCCGCTGTAGAGTCACTATTTTTCCCCTTACAATTAATACTCATTCTATGGGAAGACCTTCATGTGAAAATATGAGATATGAAAATATCCCACACCTCATCAAACATCCCCCTCTACGTGTAGCATCCACGGATGATTCTTGCCTGGGATTGGTAATTCTCGTCCTTACCGTGATGGCTGCAAACGGCGATTTTACAACGCCACCGCTTCCTCCACGTTTCTCAGTCAGCACCCCCTGCCCCCCTCCCTCCTCATCCACGTATGTGTCTACAGCAGTGCCCCCTCATCTGCAGGGACACACCCCAAGACCCCCGTGGATGCCTAAAATCCCACGTAGTACTGAACCCTGTATATACTATGTTTCTCCTTATCTATACATATTTGAGGTAGACAGGAAACTAGCACAAATTTCTTTTTCCTTCTTCACAATTTCACAATAGAAGATTTGTTCTTGCCATAAATCTTAGCAACCTCTGCATAAAATTTTTTCTCTTTCCTTATTAAGTCAAGAACTTTCACCTTTTCACTTAAAGGGAGCACTTTATGGCTTCTCTTTAGCATGTCTGAATTGCCAGCATCACTACTCTTGCACTTTGGGGCCATTATTAAGTAAAATCAGGGTTTCTTGAACATAAGTACTCCAATACGGTGACAGTCGATCTGCCAACCGAGTGGGCTATGAAGTGACTAACAGGCGGGTAGCGTGTACAGCGTGGATATGCTGGACACAGGGATGATTCAAGTCCTGGGCTGGACAGAGTGCGATGACAAGATTTCATCATGCTACTCAGAACAGCATGCAATTTAAAACTGACGAATTATTTCTGGAATTTTCCACTTAATATTTCCAGACGATGGCTGACCACAGGTAACTGATACCACAGACAAAGCAAAGCCATGGAAAAGGGGGACTATTGTGTTCATCACAGGGATGGATTCTTGGATTCCTATTTTACTCACTGGGCTATAATCCCTACTGTCCTTATTTCTTTTGATGCTCAAATGGGGAGCCCATGGGAACCCCTTCCGAGCTGCTCCTGTGCCCTTTTCACTTGTCCCCCATCAGTTTTTTGAGTACTTCCTTACTTTCCGGCACAAGAAAACGTTCTAGGCTCACCTTGTACCTTCCCTATCCTAGACCTGGACTAAGCTAATTCTTCACAGACCCATGCAGTTTTATTTTTCTTGATGTGGCCCTCAGTTAAGACAAGGGGCTCACAATCGATATGGCTGGCTGTCCTTAACACAGGCTGACCCAGCGCATCTTTTGTCAGTTGCTTTTAAATATGACGGAATTACAGTACAGTACAATTCCCCTCTCTTAGGAATGGACTGCATTAAATCATTATATTACTTAAAGTTTTCAACTAATTGGGCCCCTAGCAGGCAAGGTCTTACTGAAAACTCCTCAACAAAAATTCTAATGCACTTCCGTCTTCATATGTGCCTGAGACCTTACAACCCCAAAGGGTATGACTCATCCTCTCCACAATGAACACTTCATTCACACAGTGATATTTACCAAGAGCCTGATGCACGACTATGTATTATTTTCATAGAAAAATGTCAGCTAGGGGCCAGCCCTGTGGCCAAGTGGTTAAGTTCGCGCGCTCCACTTCAGTGGCCCAGGGTTTCACCAGTTCACATCCTGGGTGCGGACACGGCACTGCTCATAAGGCCACGTTGAGGCAGCATCCCACATGCCACAACTAGAAGGATCCACAACTAAAATATACAACTATGTACTTGGTTGGGGGGTTTGGGGAGAAAAAGCAGGAAAAAAAAAAAGAAGAAGATTGGCAACAGTTAGCTCAGGTGCCAAGCTTTAAAAAAAAAAAAGAAAAATCTCAGCTAGCCAGTGGCTGCTCAATAAATTATAATGATGAAGCATATTAGTCAGCAAATGGTGAAAAATTCTTAAATTAGCAAAATGTCAGAATTCTAAAATTCTTGCAAGAATATGTAACTAATTTTCTTATACTAAATGAAGCTAGAAATTGATCATAGGCAATATGTGCCAGAACATTTTATTAAATTAAAAAAAAATCTTAATTAGGTCAAAAGTCACTTAACAGTAGGTGATCCTGAGCTGGATTCTGTACTGCAGGGGGAAAAAATCTCCTATCAAGGACATAATTGAGTCCACTGACAAAACTGGAATGTGTACCGTGGGGTAGGGCGCAGTAATGTATTAATGGTAAATCCCTTTATGTTGATAACTAAACTGCGGTTATACGGGAGAATGTCCTTGTTCTTAGGAAATACTCACTGAACTCTTTCCATGCAAAGTGGCATCATGTATGCAACTTATTCTCAAATAATTCAGAAAAAATTTACATACATATGTATGCATATACGTGCATGTCTGTGTACACATAATGATAATGATAAAGCAAATGTGGGAAATGTTAACAGTTGATGAATCTGGGTAAGGAATAATGGGAGTTCTCTGAGCCATCTTTCAATTTTCCAGTAAGCTTGAATTTATTTCCAATAAAAAGTCAATTTAACTGAAAAACATAGGCACTTTACTTACTGGTGCCAGGCAACTGTGCCAGGGTTTCCCAAGTCACAACTCGCTTAATCCTCACAACCACTCTGAAGGCAGGACTACTATCATCCCCACTTTACAGGTAAGGAAACTGAGGCACAGTAAGATTAAGGAAATGATTAAAGGGCACCCAGCTAGGATATGGCAAAGCTGGGATTCAAACCCGGTACCTGACTTTATGGTCGGACCCATGCAACACGCCCACTGAGGCTAACAGAACACAGTTGCCAACAGTGCGGAATGAGACGGGCAGGGATGTTACCTGAGGGTAGGAGTCCTCAAAGGCGCGGTCCGGAGTCATGTGCTTGATGACATCAGCCAAGACAGTGCTCACCTCTCGTTTCTGAGTGGGGAAATAAAGGAAATGTGTACCGGACACTGAGTGGCAGTCACAGGCCATGTTTCTGGGGAAAAGGACTAACATCTTCAGAACATAGCACACACCTTCCAAGATTAGTTTCAACTACATAAGGGGGAAAATTCCACCCAAAGCACAGCCCTAAAGGTGGCTACGTGTGCACCAGGTGAGGACTGAAACCACATTGTCAACGCTGCCCCTGCTCTCCCCAGGTGCTAGTAAATAAAGTCGGCTGCCCCACTTCCTGCCCGCCCGTCCCAGGCCCTCCCGGGTGCTGCAGGGGGCGCAGGCCCTGAGGGAGGAGCCCAGGCGAGGCCCCTACGAGCCACGCAACCCAGCGCCCACTTCACTTTCATCATCTGGATCAGGGGTCAGCCGGCCACAGCCCAAGGCCAGCCCGGTGCCTGTTTTTATACAGCCTGCGAGCTGAGAATGGTTTTACGCTCGAACCAAAAGAAGAACAGCATTTCGTGACAGTGAAAATTCTATGAGATTCAAATTTCCGTGCACATTAATGAAGTTTACTAAACACAGCGGTGCTCACTCACGGGTATCAGTGGCTGCCATCATGCCACAACGGCAGAGCTGGATGCTCATGACAGAGATCACATGGTCCACAAAGCCTCAAACATCCACTATCTGGCCCTCCACAGAAAAAGCCTACTGACCCCTGCTCGGTGGAAGGAGAAGAGCGAAGCCTCACTGTGCAGGTGTGCAGCTTATAGGTTAAGTGTCGGCACACAGCATGTTGTCTCAACAGCCGCCACTATGTTTACACTCTCATTTAATGCTCATTAAACTGCCCCGGATGGCCATCATTATCCCCATTTTACACATGAGGAAGAAGAGGCCCAAAGAAGTTGTGACTTAGCCAAGGCCACACAGCTAAAAAAAAAAAAATCTGACAATGGCGCTAAAAGGGAACCAAAGTTTTTCAGAGAAAGAGCTGATTCCAAATCCGGGAACAGAAATATACAAGGGAGGCTGGAACATGTTATAACAGAAAGCCAGGAAGGCATCAGACTACAGAGAGCAGGTCAGAAGGACTCAGGACCCAAGCTGAAAAGGCACCCACTGGACAAAGACGGGACAACTGAGGATCAGTAAGAAGAATATAATTCAAATATAATTAAATCCATGGATTCCTAATGATAACAACAGCAACTAGTACTCACTGGTCACCTTTGGGGATGTTGGGGAATCAAATCCTTATTCTAAAAACTAGTAAATAACAGGGACAAAATGGAGCACCAATCGCGCCTTTTCTGTACTAACTACGCCTCAGGGTAACCCCAACAGTGGACGAAAGCAGTTTCTCTCTATACAAGTACCCCAGCTAAACAATAATGAAGACACAAGAGTAACTCCAAATATCACCATTTTGCAACCGCCGATAAACCATGAGATACAATGAGCTTCAACGGCTGTTCGTGTCATGGAGACAACCAGACACCATGAGCCTCCCAGGAGAAGCACCATACACTCCCCCGCGGTGCCAAAAAAATCACATCTGGAGGTGATTAAGTCTCTAGAACTAAGGGCTGACTTACAGGAAATAGTGCAGGCAGGACAAACACGTTGGGCCCCATCAAAGGGATGCAACAGCCCAACGCAGACTGCAAAACTCTGCAGGACAAATGACCCAATTTCTTCAACAAATAAATTAGAGGAAAAAAAGGGAGGAAGAAAGAAAGATGCAGAAAGAACTTATAGATTAAAAGAACCCTTAGAAGTCTATTTCCATGTACGGATCATTTTTAATCCTGATTCAACAAATAAAAAAAAATTACAAGAAAATTGAGGAAACCGGAACATTGATTTTTAATGATATTAAAGCACCATTAATTTTTTTAGTTAGGATAATGTATTGGGATTCTGTTTCGGAAAAGTGAGTTCTTAGATTCCACACATGTGGGTTGAAATACTGACATGAAACAAGATGTCTGAGATTTGCTTCAAAATAATCCAGGGGTGGAGAGAAGGGATGAGGACACAAATGAAACAAGGTTTGTCCTAAGTTGATCAGTTCTGAGTGATGAGTACAACGGATATCATATGTTTGAAATTTCCATAATAAAACATAAAACAAAAATTGGACAAAAGAAACAAAATCAACAAGTCAACATTTACATAATGTTCAAAACAAGGCAAAACCAAGTTCTGGAGTTAGAGGCCAGGACGGCGGTTACCTTCAACTTCCAAAGGCTGGGGGCTGTGAGGGAAGGGGGCTGGGGGGTGGGGATCATCTCCTATTTCTTGATCTTGACCATGACTACAAGGATATACTTTGTGAAGATTCAGTAAGCAGCACACTTAGGATATATGCACTTTTCTGCATGTATGCTATACTTCAACTCTTAGAAGTTGATTAAAACAAACACTCTGGCAGTAGGATTTACTCAGTTCTACCTGCTTCTAAGTCCCTGCTGTTTGACATGCCCATATTTTTCCACACCGAGGTTCTAGTCTGGGCCTAGGGAAAGAAGTATCTTTGTTTACTTAGAAAAGAAAACTAGATGCAAGTCAAATACATTTGGGAAATGCTACCTACTAGACTCCCATGGAAAGTCACAATGCACTTTAGCATGTAAGGTGTCCAAGGTGGAAAAAACGGCTTAACTTTGTATAATGCAGCATTTCTCAAATTTACACATAGCGTGAAATGCTCTTGTTACAGCATACTACTGCTCTATCACACTATATTATAAAGGATGCAATTTTTATAAATTAAGAACAATTACCATTGTAAAACGCCTAAATGCTTAAGCTAGACTCATTCACTATTTTAAACGTGAAAAAAACATACAATTGTTTCAGAAACAATACCCCAGCCACACGTACCGTGAAATGCTTGCAGGTGTACTCTACCCACACTTCAGCACAGTTAACGTAGTCCTACAAAGAAGAGTAAAAGGTCTTTACAGTAAGAACACCACGGGTGACCTCGAGGCAAAATCTCATGGACAAATAAATCCCTTCAAGAGCTTTGACAGTTAAGAGTTAAGTGATAGGAATTTCAAGGTGGTTCATCTACAGAAAACGCGGCCCGCTGATATATTTCACCGAGAGGTGAATTATAAAAAAACATAGGTTGCCTGAAACTAATTAAGACTTTCATTCCAGAATTGCTACTTGGGCCAATACAGAAATCTGGGAAGCTCTGCCATGCTTGCAGACGGAGATGAATCAAAGGGCAACGGAGATGACCGAGGGGAGTCCTGGCCCACCTCGCGGAGTCACAGAAGGTGGAGCTGGTTGAGGACTCTGGCTTTGAATGTTCTGAGGGAAAAACAGGCTTTCTGACTTTAAAAAAGAAACCATTTGTCCTATGAATGGGTGATGTATAGATGTTATAAAAAGGTTAAGAAAGTGCTAAAGACTTTAGGTAAGAAATGATGTGTTAGACTCAAGTAGGAGGGGGCCCTCGGCGAGACGATGAGATGGTTACGGAAATGACAATGGCCAACTTAGTAAAGCTGTCTGCCCAGGAAAACGCTCAGCTGGGAAGGGTCGTGGAAAAATACAGTCTGCAAGCACACCTCTTCTGTTCCGACGCTTTAAGGAAAAGAGAGAAGAAATGGGGAGGGAAGAAAACAATTCTCTCATTCCCACAAGAAAAGCCAGGAGCATTCTAAGCTCTAACTAGACTGCTAAGAAGGTGAACTAAACTGGTGAGTGTGAAGTTCAAGCCTGCAGAAAACTGTTAACACGGGCTTTTGAGCAAGGCTGAAGTACAAGCACCAGGGGCCCAGAGGTTCTGACTCATTCTAAAGAAGCTGTGTCAGCTAGCCAGAGTGAGGTTAAACGGAGGATTTCAGCAGCTAGAGCTTCGTGAGGATTTTGCTGAATTTAAGTGAGGTAAATGAGTTTGTAAATATGTTTCTAATTTTTCTAAGTTATACCACTCTTCTTAATATATTCTTGTAAACGTGGTGATCGGCAAGGGGTTTATAACTGAGCTCACTTTAATATCTCCTTCTCCAGAAATGACTGTATCAAAGGCTACGTATCCATATTCAGTTATTTGCTGTGTTCTGGACTGAATGCTGTATTCCCACCAAAAGGCACATAATGAAATCCTAGCCCACCGTGTGATGGTCTTAGGAGGCGGGGCCTTGGGGAGGAGATTAGGTTATGAGGGTGGAGCCCTCATGTATGGGATTAGTGCCCTTATAAAAAAGACCCCAGACAGCTCTCCTACCCTCTCTGCCATATGAGAATGTGAGAAAACAGCCATCTGCAACCCAGAAGAGGGCCCTACACCAGAACCCAACCATGCTGGCCCCCTGGGCCAGAACCGTGAGAAATATGTGTTTGTTGTCTATAAGCCAGGCAGCCTGCAGTGTTCTGTTACAGCAGCCCGACTGGACTGAGACCTGCTGCCCAGCAGAGGAACTGTGCAGGGTACGGTGAAGTTTGCCCAGCTGGGCCTGCAGTCACAGAGCCAGCCAGTACCATTTACCCAGTGGCAGCCACATAATTTTCGGGCATGTTGCCTACAAGGACAGTGAGGCATGAAACCCAAACCTACAACACGATGGCCATCACTGATGCATTACAGCTACTGACATCAGTTGGTCCATCTTCCCAAGACTTCTTGCCCATGAAGTACAGGGAGAAAGGTTTCAGCTGTCTCCCTTCAGGAGACAGAAATTGGAATTCCCTTTTGCTGATTACTTGCTTGACCACTCATCTGATTTGGGAACATTCTACTAAATTGGTATTTTCAAATCCAAATACTATAGACGGCTGCATTTTGGATGCTCTTTGCAAAGTTACAGGTCTTTTAAAGTTTCAAATACTTGCAGTTTTACACTTCTTGTTGTATCTTAAGGCCCTAAGAATGAGACACAATCAGGATACAAAAATCAAAGAAATAGATGTTTACAGCTCTCAGGTCTCTGTTATAGGTTAACAAATAATACAATGAAAAGAAGTAGATTTCTTAAAAAACAACAACAAACAGAGGTATGATTAGTTAAAAGCTAATTTTTTTTTTTAAAGAAAGAGTATATTATTGCATAACTTGGACAAAAAGGAGTCGCTCTAAGGTCTAAATGGTCACCTACCTGTGGATTCTTCAATTTAGTGATAACTTTCCAAGCTTCGTTGAGAATCTGAAGTCGGTCACCCTCAGGAGGATCAGCCAAGGCCAAGTTTAAGCCCAAGGAGCGAAAAAGGAGATGCTAAGAAAAATAGCAAAACGTTACGATACTGGAGATTTGAGATCAGAGTAACTTGAGGCTTAAAAGAAAAGGCCGTAACATTTCGCTCGCCACAGGGTTAACCTTCCACAACCTCTTTCTGAAGTTCTACCATGGACCTATGCCAGTTAGACTGACAAGCTCAAAATCAAATACTAGCTCCATGGACTGGTCTAATTTTTGGGCCATAATATTCCAATGGACAAAGTTTTTCATAAATAAGGAGTGAAGGGTTATTTTTAAAGCTGTAAGACCAAAGTCTTCCCTAAATACTTCCCAGTGAGCTAATTCGACAGATTTAGGACTAATTAGATAGATTTAGGACTCACAGAGGCCTGACTCACAGGTTACGTGTGTCTGACAACCCCAATCACCACCTCGACTTCCACCCTGTTCTTCAGAAGCAGAGCCTTCGCTCGTTTTCCTGTTGGCTCCAGCTGCCCCTACACCGGACTCTCCCTTGAGGGCCAACACGTAAACGCTGCCTGTTTGTTCTCCCACTGAGCTTTTAGTCAGGAGCTTACCTTGGGGAAACCGGACTCATCACACTCTTTAATCATGCCGATGAAATCCATGGACCTTGTGGCAATGAACTCGGCCCGGAAAGCTGACATCACGGAATTCAACAGCAAGGCACTGCAAGACACACACGCCCCATGTCAGCAGAGCTTCCCCTTAATGAAAGTCGCTTTTAGGATGCATGTTGCTGGGAAGGATGACTGATGGCCCTTTAATGGTAATGTTGGGGTAAAAAGAAATGAGTGGAGTGACGAGGCAACGTCTAGAGACTAACACTTCTCTGCATATTTGGAACTTGATAAATGTTGAACTGAATGGGTGGACGGATGGCCGGATCAATGGACACGTAAATAAGCAAGCAATCAAAGCCATTCAAACAGAATTAAACTGAACCTTCAATAGGCTGATGCACTAATAAAACTAAACTTCAGTAACAATATTGATCCAAGCTGCAAACTCTATCCACATCTCAAAAGCAATGTTCGAGGACGTAGGGACACAGTGACTCAGGGACATCTATCACCAAAAGGAAAGCAGAGGGGAAACCTCATATGCCTGGAAGACAGGAAGATGGAGTTCATCATGACCCTACCACTTATCACGGCCCCGTGGGGAAGGGACTATTATTAAACCCATTTTACAGATGAGGAGAGTGAGGCACAGAGGGGTCAAGCAAGTGACCCAAGTTCACAAAGCTAAGACAGAGCAGAACCAGGCAAGTGAAGCCAGGCAACTGGACTCTCATTTCCTGCGTTCCACACTCTCTCTGTCGCCTCTCTGTCAGCCCTCTTGCCCACATAAGTGCCACGCTCAGAAAAAGCAACCCGCTACATTTTCAAACTCATGCTTTAGGAATTCTGAGGCACTTACTTGTTCCCTAGTTTCTTGCATCTCTCCATCATCTCAGTTAGCAGAGTCTAAATAAATTTAAAAAAAATAATAAAAATCAGCAGGTTGGAGGATCTGAAGCAACATTTCTCACCAAGAGATTTCCAAAGTACTATTCTAAAATAAATGTAGCCACATGCCCATTTCCGTGATTTCTCAGTGCCTGGCAGAGGCGGGGAGAGGGGCAGGAACAAACCTCCCTATTGCGGCATTTAGTATAATGATAAGAGCTGGGGCCCTGGCGTCAGGCAAACTTGGACTCAAATCCAGTGTCATCAGCTTCCAAGAGCGAGACCTCGGGCCGGTCACTCAACCTCAGTAAGCCTGGGTTTCCTCATCCTCAGGCAGAGGGTACAAGTGGTACCATCTCCCCTGCAGGGTCTCTGTAGGATGAGGAGAGCAGTGTCTCCCGAGCTGCAGGGCAGTGACGAGCACTCCTCCCTCCCCTACGAGCCCCGCCACCTCCCATTTCACGAGGGGTCCATGGAACTCTCAGTAAAACAAACACAAACCCCGGGCCAGCGCTGGTGCCCGCCACTCCCAGTGAGAAGTACTTTGCGCTCAGGATCTCCACTCTCACAACCACCCACGAGGCAGGCTCTCTATCCTCCCGGCGCACAGATGAGAAGCCGAGGCGTGGAACAGTGATACCCTTGGACCAAGGTGACACAGTGACTGTGGCCCAGACAGCACCCAGGCTGCCTGGCATCAAAGGCCATGCTCTCCACCACATTTCCTCTCCACAAATTCTGAAGCACATTTTTTTCCCCAAAAGGAGGTAAATGTTTTTTTACTTTTCAAGTGGAATACTGTTAATGGCCTTAGAGCTATCTTAAGACCATTATGTGTCCTTTAAAGAGCTCCTGTTTTTAAAAAAATCAATGGAAGAAGGAAGAAGTATCCTTTAGGGCAGTGGTTTGGGGAAGGTTTTGAACAGCACGGACAAGTCAACCCCAGGACTGCAGAGCTGCTAACAGTTGCCCGGACCCTGCGCCCTCCCTTGCACTAGGCGCCCGGTGAAGCACCCAACACACTTTCCCTCATTTACTCTTCCCAATGGCCTTGTGAGCCCCGTGTAAATTATCCCCACTTCACAAACGAGGAAGCCAAAGCTCACACAGCTTAAGCTGCTTCCTAGCAGTGGTGGAAATGAGATTTGTATCTAAGCCTGGCCCCGAAGTCAAATAAGAAAACGAGTCTTCTTTAGTGCAATTCCACCCCTTCCAGCGGGGTCCCTCTGCGCCTTAGGTGTTGCCTGAATAATTAAAGCGACAGCTGACTGTGGAGATACTGTGTGTACCCCCACCCCCAGAACCCTGATTTTATTCAGATTTCTATCTCTGCCCAACAAAAATCAGGTTGGGTCCTGGTATGGCCTAAATTATGTTCTGTGCAAAATTCCCTATGTTGAAGCCATAACCCCTAAAGTCACTGCATTTGGAGATGGGGCTTTTCGAGACGTAATTAGTGTTAAGTGAGGCCATAATCCAATAGGACTGGTGTCCTTATAAGTAGAGACGGAGAGACCAGGAGCACACACGCACAGAGAAAAGACCATGCACAGAGAAAGGACACAGTGAGAAGGCAGTGGTCTACAAGCCAAGGAGAGAGGCCACACCAGAAGCCAACCCTGCTGGCACCTTGACCTTGGACTTCCAGCCTCCAGAACTAAGAGAAAATAAGTTTCTGTTGTTTAAGGCAGCCAGTCTGTCACGGCAGCCTGCTATGGTCTGAATGGCCACCCAGACCCCAAGGTGATGGTCTTTGGAGGTGGGCCTTTGGGAGGTGATTACGTCATGAGGGTGGAGCCCTCATGAATGGGATTAGGGCCCTTATAAAAGCAGCCCAAGAAAGCTCCCGTGTCCCCTCTGCTATATGAGGACACAGCATGAAGACAGCCGTCTAAGAACCAGGAAGCTGCGGTGTCCCCTCTGATATACGAGGACACACCAAGAAGAAAGCTGTCTAAGAACCAGGAAGTGGGCCCGCAATAGACACTGAAGCTGCCAGCATTTTGATCTTGGACCTCCAGCCTCCAAAACAGTGAGAAATAAATTGCTGTTGTTTATAAGCCACCCAGTTCATGGTATTTTGATATAGTGGAACAAATATAGGTCCAGACTAATCACAGTGGTCTTGCTCCCCTTGTGAGTGGCGGCTTTAGACATGCGCACATGACCCATTTCTAGCTACTGAGATGGGGGCTTCGAGGAAAGATTTCCTTGTTCTTAAACAGGAACCCAAGGAACTGAAGACTTCCCCATCTTTCTGCCTCTGGATGCTGCCACATCTGGATGTGATGCCTGGAATGGCTGTAGCCACTTTGCTGCCATCTGGGGATGGCAGAGCAGAGAGACGGACAGAATCTGCCTGGCCCAGAGCCTGCACTTGTTATTCAAGAGAACACACTAAATTATTTTTGGAGGGTCAGTTAGCTGTTTGTTCCTTGCAGCCAGAAGCGTCCCACCTGATGATAAAAATGACGATGTCAGAAACGGGTTCCCTAACCCACTCATGGTGTGTTTATCTTTGAAAACTCATTCTTGAAGACCAATATCGAAGTGGTTTCTGGGAAAAGCTGGGAAAAAGATATAATTATCACACTGATACTCCCCAAATAATCACTCATTCAACACCTACCTATGGAGCAACTTTAATGTACTGGCCAGTATTCTAGGCACTGGGGCCAGGACAGCAAGGACATCAGACAGAAATCCATGCCCTCGTGGGGCTTATTCTCTCTGTCCCATGCACACGCACACACACACATGCACAAACACAAATAAAAGAGGCATCTTGGCCCACCACTCCTGAAAAGATGAACTGGGGCAAATGCCAACATATGGACAAAACATTCTGGCCATTAAGACAAGACAAATGCTTTAAGTTCTCTTTTTCACAAGAGATGAATGCATTAAAAATGCATCCAAGAATGTAACTTGGGGGAAAAAAAAAGGCTGTGCTGTCAAAGAGGAAAACAGGAACACCCGCAAGCGTCCAGGGAGCCAAATGTTATGGTTCCCGGGAAGGGCTGTTAGAGGTTATTAACTTTTTTTCTGAGAAGTGACAGAATTGATTATCTTTGGCAAAAACAAGATGAACAATAGTTCAAACCAGACTATGATCGAAATAAACCTGCTGGCTGAGATAAACCATCAAAAAACTTGCAGCTCAGCATATTAGCTTGCAGACAGACAACAGAACTTGAAGATCCAGAAGAGTCATAAGGCCCATACATTTCATTTATTTATATGTTTAGTTTTTTAAATAAAAAGTATAAAAATAAGAAATGCTTATGGCGCAGAGTTCCAAGTGTATTGCTGTGCACTAGGTAAGATGTGAATGCCTTCCCTCCCAACTCCCACTTCCTGGGCATCGCCGTGTCCACATTTTGTTTGTCTTTCCAGGCCTTTGTCTATGCCCTGTGAAGACACAGCTTTTGCTATAAAAGCTTGGTTTTTTTGCTTTTTGGGTTTTGTTTTGTTTTTTCTACAAAAATGGATACTTTTATACATTTTGGGTTGCAACTTGCCTTTTTAAGTTGAGAATCTATCATGGGTCTCCCGCCGCCTCCCACATCAGGAGGGAAAAGTACACCTCATTCTTTTTAATGGCTGAAGAATCCATAGCATGGCTATAACATCACTGTTCAAACTGCCTCTAAGTGATGGAAGTTTTAAAATGTTTTATTGTGAACCAATTATAGACTTATAAGAAACTGAAAAGATAGTAGAGAAGCCCTGGATGCCCATCACTGAGCTTCGCCCACTGGTGAACATCTTACATGACAACAGTGCATTGTCAAAGCCAGGAAACTGACACTGACATGATACAATGAACTAGACTATTTCCCCAGGTTTTATAGGCACCCTTTATTGTGGGGGGAAAGGCTATGTCTTCGAGACATTTCATTAACATAAGTGGATTTGTATAACCACCATCATATTTAACTATGATTTTTAAGGTTATCTCCAGAATAAGTATAGGAAAGAAAAAAGAAGTTGGGCCAACATCCTATTTCTGTTTCCTAAACCGAGATTACCTCACATGCAGCCCAGAGTGCTTACAGATTTTCACTTCTGCTTTTACTGAGTAACCTTCCAATCAGTGTTTACAAATACTGCTTCATAAAAAAGGACATCAAATGCCATGCATGTCATATTCTCCTAGATGAAGCAGAAATGTAAAGGGTGGACAAAATCACAAACTAATCTTAAATGGTGACACCCTCTTCCCCCATACAGAGTTAATATGTTCACATCTTCAAGAAATAAAATACTTCAATGTGAATAGAAAGAAATTCTATACTGTAGGCATTAAAAGAATTTTTAATTTTCCACATTATTTCTCTTTCACTAGGGGTTTCTTGCCTAATTCAAAAGAGTGAAAATAACACACCTGCATGCGTGAGAGGGATTTATCAATGGCCAAGGCTGGTCTTGGACTGGCATTATTAGCCTACCCATGTTTTAGAGTGTTTACAGTGCAGTTTATAGTATGACCATTGGAGGAAGAGTCCCAAGAGTCGGTCTGTCAGGGCCTCTAAGTCCCACCCTGAGTGCAGCAGTTAACAGGAGTTTCCTAGAAAGAAAAAGTTTAGGAGTTGAGGGAACAAATCTGCTGGTTTCAGAGTTACCGCCAAAATGGCTACTCGGCTTTGACTCTTTCTAGTTGTGTGACTGAGCAAGTGTGTAAGCCACAGGGGCCAGAAGTCTAAGTCTGTAAGATGAGGATGATGACAATACCTCGCCTCGGGAAGCTGTGAGAGTGAATTAAGATGGCCCAGGAACTGACACAGAGCTGGGAACACCGTGAGCAGCACAAAGAGGTAACTGTGTTTAAGGCTCAGCAGCTTAGCCACATCTTCGACTCAGTCCCCTCCTCCAACATTGTCCACATGCAACAGACTCACTCTGCCTTCTAAACACCTCCTGAAATGACTGAGGGCCACAGAATTTTCTTTATTTTTGGTGAGGAAGATTCGCCCCGAGCTAACATCCATTGTCAATCCTCCTCTTTTTTTGCTTGAGGAAGATTCACCCTGAGCTAACATCTGTGCCAAGTTTCCTCTGCTTTGTATGTGGGATGCCTCCACAGCAAGGCTGATAAGTGGAGTAGGTCCACACCCAGGATCCGAACCCACGAACCCCGGGCCACCAAAGCAGAGTGCGCGGAACTTGAACCACTCGGCCACAGGGCCAGCCCCCACAGAACCTTACTAACAATAGGTATTTATTTAATGTTAAGTGAGGGGAAAGCACCATAAAATTATACAGGAAAAAAATTCTCATCCACAAAACAAAATTAGAGAGAGACAGAGAGAAAGGAGAGAGAAGTATTAAAAAGGAAATGTACCAAAATGTTAAATATTGCCCAGTTATGGATGGCAGGATTTGAGGTGGCTAATTTTCTCCTTTTTATTTTTTCCAAATTCTTTCCAATGAAGATGTATTTTTATTAATAAATGTTTTCTGATTATGAAATTCTCTCCTATCCATTCTGTCTCTTCCTTTTCCCACAACTACCAACCAGTCCTCCTCTCTCTAACCAGTTCATCTGGGACGCCTCTACCAGTTTGATCTTCTCCAAGAGCCACTTTTTTCAAATCATTGCCCTGATCAGAAATCTTCCAGAGCTGCCTGGTCTCCATGATGTGAGGTTCCACAGACTCTGCAGCCTGGCCCAGCACGACCCAGTCTGCTCCCCGTCAGTCTAATTTCTCACTCTCCTCCAGAAGGCTGGTCCCCTTACTATGCCTCTTAGCTGCCTCTGTCTGTACAGGTCCCTTCCCTCAGCTCTTCTTTTAGTGCTGCTGGAGGGGCCCCGGTTTGTCTCCTGGCCTTAAGTCAGCTTAGGACCCCATCCACTCAGTGAGTCCTGTTAAGACCAAACACGACGACGGCAGCCACCCCCACTGCCTGGTGCCTACCATGCACACACATGGGTTACCACAGTCACCTCGTAACAGCCCTTCAAGGAAGCTTCTACTATTGGCCCCATTTTATAGCTGATAAAACTGAGGCACAAAGAAGTCACGCAGCCCAAGGCAACACAGCCCAAGTCTGAACCTAGCTCTGCCCCAGCCTCCACCACTTTCCTCTTCCCTCCTTCGACCTTCACAACCTGCATGGCCCAGCCTAGCAAGGGATCCCATGGGATTCCCTATCTGACAGGACCTGCCAAGGACATCAGGGGTCAGGCCTCCCACTCTGTGCCTCCCACACCACCCCCAGCAAACAAAAACCTGCTGGAAACGATGAGAAGCTTACCAAGGGGTTCGTTTTCACTGCCCAAAAGCAGGTTTTGTGAAACGGTTGCTTTTTTCTGTGTAAAATGTCCCTGAAATGGGGGGCATAAATCTATTTTCTACTTAGGATAATTTTATTTTAAATTGTATAAGAGGGGAAAAAAATCCTGTCTTCAAACAACAACAAAAAAGCCTTTTTGAATAATCACTCCCTGATTTGGGGGGAGTAGGGGCGGAATTCTGGATTTCAATTTCTACCAGAAATTTCTATCAAAAATGTGTACATCACACATCGGTAGCTGAGGGCCTCTCTCCCTCCTCTCATGGAGACAGTTCTCCTTTCTGCTCTCTCGGGTACCTGCCCTATATATTACCAACCGCTGCAGCCAAACTCAACAGCCCCAGTTTGGGAGGTGTGGGCTTTTAAAGACACAAACAGCTCTAACTCCCCAGGTGACATATCCCAGCCACTGTCAAGAGCTTCTGGGCACCTATTGTCACCACATTTTCCACACCACCCTCCACACTGACATCAATTCCTCCTCATTCTGAAAATGATTTTTGCTTTTTTACAAGACACAGCAAGTCCCTCATTTAAGTGCCCCAAGAATCAGGGTTTATTACTATTCAGGTGACCTAGTTTTTTTAATCACTTCTTCTAGAGCAATAATGATTTCCTAGAGTTTTACTCCCCAGGAAAGCTCTATTCCCAGCTTTTGCGATCCTCTGAGATTACTGGTGCTTAAAATAAAAGGAAGAACGCCTTATGACACGTCCCTTTTGTTTTTAATCTGACTTTGCCTTTCATTAAAATAAGGAGAAAAAAAATAAGTGTTCTCATTTTCAATCACGTCTGTCCTGCTCATCCATCTCAACTACTCAGTCACACGGGTAGCGCAGCTCCCTCTGCACAGGCACGTTCGTGGTACCTCGTCCCAGGAGCCTGGGCCAGCGTGTGGCTACTGAGCCTCTGCTGAAGATCACAGAGAACGGTCGGCAAATTTTCAAACAATCTTCCATTTATGCTGACTTGATATAAAATCAATTTACTCAATGGTAAAAAAAAAATCACCTGAAATACAAGGTGTCCCTATTTTTCCCCTCATACTTTAGGATTCGGAAAAACAAAAATATAAGCCATGCATCATACTGGCTGAAAAGTTAGAAAATATAAGAAAAACAAATTAAGCCAAAATCTCACCCTCCAGCGATATTTCGTCACACCTCCTTCCCAATTCTCCCATGCAGATATAAACATCACATTTGCAATCCTGACGACTCAACAAACATTCAAGCACTAGGTGTGGGAAAATCCACTAAGTCCTGGAAAGGGACTGTCCTGTTTGATCTATGCCACAGACTAGAAAATAGGAATTATCATTGCTCCCATTTTACAGATGAAGAAAAAAGGCTCAGAGTGGTTAGGGACAAGTGACCTGACCCCTGCTTTATCCCCACACCTGTGAGCAGCAGAGCTGAGACAGACCCAGGCCCTGTGGCTCCAGAACCCAAACCTGAACACCAGGCCACACTACCACCACCACTGAGGACACACAGCAACATACGCAAGCTCCTTTTTCACTCAGCAGCATCTTGTGAACACCCTGATGTCAGTACATCCAGATCTTCACCCTGGGTCCCCATCATTTCAAATGACCCCATAACATTTCTCTCAATACCTAGACCATGACTTATCCCCTTCTGGTGGTTGTCTCCCATGTTGCACTAGCATGACCAAACCTATGTGTTTATGCACGTGTCCAATTATTTCTATTGGATATTCTTAAAAGTGGGATTGCTTAGTCAAAGTCATATCCTTTTTTCTCTTTCTTTAGGGCTGTCAATCTGTCTTTGCAGCTTCTGGGAAAAGAAGTTTGCTTTGCTCCATATATCCTTTTGTAGCAAGGCCCCGCTTCTCTTCCATAGAATAAATGCTCAACAACCAGAAGACACGGGAAGCTTCATCTATCACAGTTACTGTGACAACGTGGACTGGTGTTCTACTGAAACTGCTTCTCAGTCTTGGGGAAGAAAAAAAAGAGTAGGTCTGCTATGACTCAGACTTCACTTCAATGCCTGACAATGCTCCAGATAGACAAAAAGAAAAAAAAGGAATCTTAGAAAAGCAATTATATATCTGAGTTTCACTTCCTTCTACAAAATGGGGAAAATATTACCTGCTCTACCAACTTGATTAGATCATTATAAACAAAAAAGGAATGCATGAATGTCAGTGAAGAGGCAATGAAGCCTGTTGGCCCTGGAGTCAGACTCCGTGGGTTTGTGTCCAGTCACCACCACTTTCTAGCTGTGTGACCTTACATAGGTAGCTGGCCTCTCTAGGCCTCCACATCCCCCTCCCAGAGGCGTTAAACAAGCCAATCTAGCAAAAGTGCTGAGCAGAGAACCAGCCACAATGGTGAGCCCTCTAAAGGCTGTCCAGGATTGCTGTTGCTATAGCTGTTATGAATGAGCCCTGTTTAGTGAAGAGGTCATCATGACACTATACAGAGGAGAGAGGAGCCCCAGCATTTCCCCTCGGGGTGAACTTCGCTCTGAAGCCACCTGGCAGTTACCTCGGGGGAGTGGTAGGAAATGCACTGAAAGATCCAGTCCATGGCAGGCGAGTACAAGGGGAGGTAGGATGGAAGCTCCACTCCCTGGACCACCAGCTGGTTCTGGACCGTATCCCCATGAATCTACAGGAGACCAAATAAACACTTAGGAAAAGAAGGAGAGAGAAGTCACAGAATAAACGGAGCGTGCGTGCCTCACAGACTGTGCACACTTGTAAGCATTTGGATGGCCCTGAGAGAAATAGCCTGGGTTCTCAGGGTTTTTTTTTTTAACTAGAAAAAAAACACACAGTTTCCCATGTCATCAAACTGAGCTGTTTTGGGAATGTGCACTGTGTAAAGAAGTAACTTGATAAAAATGGAGCCAGCAGATGCTAAGAAGAAAGACTTATCAGCTGGAGACGCTTCCTGTTAACACATGCACATTAATTCTCTCTGCTCGTTCAGTACAATCAACACATTTTAATTGTCTGTAACAGACGCTGGTGCAGTTTTCCAGGGTTTACACATTTAAAGAGCTTTAAGGCAATCTCAACTTGGAAAACCAACAGGGTTTTGTAAATTCACGATCATGTGACTGTTAGATCAATTAGCTGTTCTGATACTGTTCTCTTACCTGTTTGAAAGTGAGGAGGAAGTCAAAAAAGTTCTTATTTAGGCTTTCTTTGAGATGTGGAGCCACTTCCATTCCCACCTGCAGCCAAACAAAAGAAACGACCTCAATTATGGAAAAACAGGTTGCAAATAATATATACAGTATGACGTCATCTTTGTAAATTAAAAATATACACACAGACAGATATAGGCATGGAGAAGTCCAGAAAGTTACTTTTTATTCTTTTAGCTTCTCTGTTTTCTTATTCAATAAACATGGATTGCTTTTATAAGAAAAACCAGAGGAGCTATTTTTAATGAAAAAAGGGCAACATTTGCAGTTAATTGTCTTCGCAATTTCCCAAAGGTAACAAATGCCTTTCTGAACAGATGACTGAGGGAACAAATCAATATAGCACTAACGGAGGCATGGACTCCCAAGCTTGTGTACACGATCTTCTCTTCCTCTCAAAAAAATGATAAACACACATGTGGCTGTACTTAGTAAATGAAGCAAAAAGATTTTGGTATGTAAGAGGGTCAGCTGGGACTTCACTGCGGCGTTGTTAAAATAGATGGATTCATTCTTCGCTGGGCAGTCAGGGAAGCAGACTAATTTTAATATATTTTAAGCAATTTTATATAAAACAAGCATGAAGCGTAACAATGCTCTCGTCCATTGGCTCCTGCGTTCATTGGTTAAAAAACAGATTATAACATTTCCAGCTGAGAAAATTTGCTAATCATAGAAAAGGCGGCCAGAGCCCTGGGCTGGGATAGTAAAGTGAAGGTATGAGCTGTGGACAGGAGGCATGCGTTTAAAACAAAACGAAGCATTATAAGGTTCCTTAAACCGAGCTCCTTGCGTACACCTCAATTCCAAATTGCTGCCTTTACCACAAAAACAGCTTTGAAGGGAAGTTGCTTTTCTGAGACCTGGTTTTTTCCACTGGCGACAGATTTCAGCCATTCCCCGCTCCCTCCCCAGAGATCATGAAGATTAACGATCGAGATATTTTTCAGATGGCTGGGAAGAATGCTTCTGAGAAAAATTATGCGCGAACCATTGGGGCGTTAAACTCCGAAGGCGGCTCTAAAGCTGTAGGGGATGTTTCCAAGGGCAAGGCCGTAGATTAAAAAAATACTAACAACAAATGTCAGACCCAGTTCTACAGTGTTCTGATTATATTGTCTTTCCTTCCACTTAATCATATCGTAGAAAAGGCAGTAATTATCTGTTAGGTGACAGCAAAGAAAGGCCCAGTGGACAAGCCGTGGAGATGAGCTGAAGGGGCCCTGCCTTAGAAGAGGAGTTAATCACACTTTCCTTTAATACACAGCTTGGAGCTCCCCCTACGCCCTGCCCACTCACTCACTTTTGCGTTTTGTTTCTCTCTTCCCATCAAGCCAAATGAGCAGCTTGCGAATCTGCTTGGGTTGAAAAGATTTCTACACAGAGCATCGTGAGTAGTGGCTCATGATTTCCATCTGCTGTTTCTGCCTGCCTGGCACTCATTCCCTGTTCCTGTTATCAGCAAACCGGATTTGTCTTTCAGGAATCAAACTCTCCTCTCGGACCATGAGATTTGTGGCAGAGCTGGACCCAGCCCACCCTGAGTTCCAGCCATGGGCACATGATCCAGGCTCAGTCAATAGGCCTAGCTCATCCCATGGCCACAGTGATTGGTCTATCGATAGACAAGTGACCCAAGAGAGTCCATTCCCTGAGACTCTGACTGAAACGACTGGGGAGAAGGCACTCCCCTTCCACTGGAGTCCCTAAGTTGGGAGAATGGAAGCCTGGAGCTGCTGTGGGCCACCATATCGCAAGAGCGAGCCAGAGAATGAAGTTAACCAGAGGAGAGCAGAGCTGAGCCATGAGGAAGGAACAATTCTTGACAATGCTCTAAGACCCTGGATCCAGCCATGCCTGCACTACCCCTAGACTCTTCAGAGCCAATAAATCCCTCTTAAAGTAGTATGAGTGGCCTTTTGCTACTTGCAAACTGGAAGAATCCTTACTCTTATTCTTTTTATGTAAAAAAATTTTTAGAAACTAAAATTTTTATAGGTCTGCTCCATGATAGACACTGCCTGGACTGACAGAAATCATTTCAGCACATTTCCCCACCAGTCTTCCTGGGACGGGTCTGCCATCTCTCCTCACTGTCACCAAGTTTTAAAGTTACATCTGCCATTCAAAGGCACTTTATAGGTAACAAACATTATCTCCTCCCTAACTTGTATATCTGACATCAAACTTTAAAACTGAACATGATTGTGAGCAATGGGCATTTCCTCACTCTTTCTGATTTCTCTAATAACCAGAATCATCTTCATAAGACACACGGTAACTCTAAATCTTTATTACTCCATTATTCAACTGATGTCTAGGCGAGTCCAAAGAATTTGCTCTGTTCTAGAAGAGGAAAGGCAGTAGTGTGCGAATGTGCAAACGAGGATACACAGGACCCAGCAGTGCTCTGTGCACAGTAGGCCCTCAGCCAACACTGACTCGGAACGAGTATTCAGGCTGCGATAGATTCCAGAGCTGAAGCTCCAGGAAACATACCTGATATTCCCGCATGAAAAGACACCCCAAGTTAGAAGCAGACGGCAGCACCCACACACCTTGGCCTCGGTCACAGAGTAGGTCGCCCTTAAATGGCAGACTCTTTCTTTCATTCTCGTCTATCATGGAAAAGATCTTTAAAAAGTGCCCTTCGTGAGGATGTCTGCTGTTCACTGAGGGCGATGACTGATTTCTTTGTGACACAGACCACGGGGCTTCTGTCGTTTGCTAGATGTCACATAAAAGAAGCCAATGAAAGGATACTGGTTCTTGCCTTCTGATTTAATGATGTGAGTAATCCCTAGTGGGGAGCAGGGAGTCTAACCGCACGTGGCTTTGTCCTCAAGGAAGTCTGGGTTCTTCAGGACCCTTTGGAAGAAGGGCAATGAGCCCCCTGTAAAGGGGAAAGAAGCTGACGGGCTTAGCAAGGAGGCTCCATTGAAAGCTGATGGAGGCAAAGCCCCCACACAAGTTCAAGAAAAACCACCGATAACTCCATGGGTTTGCATTCTTCACAAATGAAAAACTAACAGCTCTTCACGGTGCTTTAAAGGAGAGAAAGGTCGAGTGACTTACAACCAGGACTGCCTTACACAAGAGAGCAGCCGTGAAGACAGGCCTGCGCCCTCCGAGGCAGGCTACACAGACCCTGACGCCTGTCACCGCAAGGAGCACCACTCCAGCCAGACAGCCCGCACCGACTGCTCTCTGAGTGACCCTTTAATATGAGGACGGAGAAACTAACCAAGCGACCACATTCAAGGCAAAGGGAAAGCACGTTTCAAGTCAATGAAAAGCAAACCATTAGCTGAAAGGCCTTGGGAGTCTCCTTCCCAGCAAGAATGGAGGAACAATTAATTCTGAAAACCAGTTCATTTGTAAGACAACGACCTTACAGGCCTCCAATTAGACTTACGGTAAGTGGCTCTACTTTAAAATTAATTTTTAAAAGAAATCCTACAGCTCTGCTTTCTGTGGAAGAGCCGTGTTCTAAAATTAGAAGCTAATAAAGTCCTTCTTCCAGTGACTTGTGAGGTGGTGGTGAAGGAGAAGCCTCGGGAACATTTAAGGAAACAGGGAACTGCCACGTCTGGGAGCACAGCAACGCGACACGGCCTACCCGGCAGAGGTAGGCCCGGGCATACACCGACACCAGTGGGTCCCCGATCCCTCGAATCATGCATGTCAATCGGGGCAGACATTCCGAAATCCCCCTGTTAGAAACAAAAAGACAGCAGCATTATACCCCTGTGAGAGCTCCCTGTTCTTTTTAAAATAAACATAAAGCTAAACTTCCTAAATTTAGGGGGAAAAAAATCAAGTTTCAGGAATAACCAAGGTCAAAGTTTCCGAGTTTTCTAAGGCTACGTAACAAGAGTCTTTCTCTCTAGACACGATTCATTCACGGAATGGTTTCTTCCACCTTTACTATCTGCTCAGAGCTGGAGTCTAACCTTTACTTTTTTCCCTGTTAGAGGTCACATTTATTCTATTAACTTAGCAGTTTTTGTTTTCCAGGGATTGTCCATGGGCTGTGACACTGATCTGCTGTCCTGTGCCCCGGCCCTTCCTAGCACCGGACACCTAGCCCCTGAGCCGGCATCAGGAATCTGTTAACGTGAACTCTGATTTATTCCTCCCGAGACACAGAACCTTCCTCTGCCTCAGGCATTATCCTGCCCCAACCGGGAGGGGGAAATAACTGTTCCTGCAGCACGAGTGTTATCCCTCCAAACGACCCCAGCCAGCCCCAGATCCCAGTCACACACTAAGTCCTACCAAAGGACTCGTGAGTCAGCCCAGGCCTTCAGGGAGTTCGCCATCTAGCTGCCACCCAACATGACTCGGCGTTTCACTGGTTCTGCAGAAAGGAGATCTGGTTTCCCTAGGCTCTGTGAATGCCTCTCAAAACAATGTCAGAGGTGACCCACGGTAGAACGGGGACCAGGGGCAAAGACTTGTGCTCTGACATCATCGTCATCGTCATCATCGTGGACGCAGCAGCAAACCCTGAGCATGGGCGCACTGCATGGCAGGTGCTGCTATCAGTGCAGTGCATGTGGCTACCGGACTCTCCCAGACCTCTTCTTAGGGTCTTGTTCTCAGAGGAGACCGAGGGTCAGAGATGCTAAATGACTTGCTCAAGACCACACAGCTAGTAATGGCAGAGCCAGGACTCAAATCCAGCCAAGCTGCTGTCTCATGAGCAACTCAACCAACCTCTCCTAGCTTGAGTTGTCTTCTCTAGAAAACAGGGATTAAAATGTTCTCTCTACTTCATTAAGTTTTCATTTGAATTAAATGAGAAAATGCATGGAAGGTGCTTGGCACCAGATCTGTTACATGCTAAGTACCCAAAGAATGATGGCCACTATTATAAGGCCATTAGTGTGTGCTGCGTGTGTGTGTGTGTGAGACACTTTTTGGAAATATTACAGTTCTAGACATTTCAGAGGCTTACGTTTTGGAGAGGAACTTGTTACACTTCAGAATGGATGCTTCCACATAACTACAAAAACATTCAGGTAAGGAAGATATTTCCAGACAGGCTGTTCCTACGGGAAAAGACTAAACTGTTCACGAACAGAACAAGGCATGTCTTCAGGAGAGGGGGCCAAGATGGCTCTCAACAGCCAGGGAACTGAGTTAGCTAGTGGCTTGTGGTTTCTATATTTGGGTCTCAAGGTTTCATACACACTTACAATAAAATTTGGAAAATGTTACATGCTGATTCATGGTTGCACGCTGTAATTTAAGCTGGGTTTTGAGCATTTCCAACCAAGGCTTTATGAGGAAAGAACACACTTCAGGTAACTACAATTTGCTAGGTGCATGAGTCGCCTTCTCTGTCCTTCAGTACCGGCATTTGTGCACAGAAGCCTGACCTTGTTCCTTTCAAGTTGTCAGAAACAGACAACACAAAGATGAAGCACTTTAACTGAGAGGATTAATGTGAGAATGTTCCTCAAGGGAACAAAAGCCTCGTACATGGCATCATATTCAAAATAAAAAAAGCAGAGACCCTTTGGAGAGAACAAGAGTGTACAGGCTCCCACAGTGCGGCTGGCCGGGTATTTTCAGGCTAGCAACCGTGACGGCACCGAATTTTCAACAGGAATTTCAGGGTGCCCATCACATGGCTTCTGTTAACAGCCCAACCCTTTCAAGCCTATCTTTAAAGGCATCAGACAAAAAAAGGATACAATCTTGGAATGAGTTCCCTGATGGAAGCGATCTTGAAAAACCAATTTAAGCACGTTTCTTTGGCCGTGTCATTTACATTCTCTGGAGAGAAGTGATCTGTAATACAAAAATAATATCCGTCAGCCCTCCCAATTCTCGGGATCTGTTTCAGTTGCCATGAGTCCTGGGATAGGGAAAGGTTACAATGGAGCAGAAGAAGGAGTGGGGTACCCAGAATTTCCATCTCTTTCCTTCCAAATATCATTATTATTATTAGGAAACAATTGGTGACAATGAGAGCTTACACACAGAGGCCTTCGAAGTGCCAGGCGCTGTTCAGAGTGCTTTACAGACGTCAGCTCACCTCCTTCCCCACCACAGCCCTCCGAAGTATCTACTTTTATTACCCTCTTTTATGGACACAGAGACCAAGCCCCAGAGAAGTTTAGTAACTTGCCCTGGGCACACAGCAAACAAATATAAGAGCTAGAATTCAACTCAGGCAGTCTGACTTCAGAGCCTACATTCTTAGCCACTGCCTCTAATATAATCCAGAGGTCTTGGTGTACCCACCAGTAACTATAGTGATATAATTGAGAATCCCAGATGCTTTAGGAACCTGCAACTCTAACATAAAATGTGAAGGAAGCTTGTGCTCCAAATATCACATGGGCCAGAGGTGAAGGTAAACCAAGGACCCGAGGCCAGAAACTAGCCAGAGTTAGGGTGCCAGCTCAATACTGGTTCTAAGACTTGAGTAGTGCCAAAAATGCCAGTTTCAACCATTATCTGTTCTCTTCCTCTTTAATCAGAGAATTCTCACTTTTTTGCTGGGCGTATGGCCATCCTTGCAGCTAGGTGTGGCCAAGCGGCCAAGCTCTGGTCCCAGGATATAAACAGAAGTACAACTTCTAAGAAATAGCTTTAAGGAAAGGGGCTTGACCTCTTTCACTCCTTCTTGCTGCCTGGAATGCAGATACGATGGCTGGAACCTCCATAATCATCTTGAATCATGAGAGCAAGAGAGAAGTCAGGATCCTGGGCACCACGGGCTGGCTGCCCCACCAGCCCTGACCTTCTTTGTTGTCATTTGGAGCTTCCTAACACTGGCAACCAAGCTTAATCTTTATGTACATCTTAATAAGGAATGGAAGAGAGTACAGAAAAATGAAAAAACAAACAAAAACTCTCATCAACACCAAGAAGGCCACTGTGGCACCCTCGCACGGAAATGATTTTTTCTACGTGATTTCCATACAGACTGGAGCCCGATCCCAGCACGGGACGTGCCGCACACATTTAGGATTCGATCAAAAAGGGAGAAGTTCATTACTTTAAAAGACCCAAGTGAAGGTCAGCCCGGTGGCTCTCATGTTGTGCAGGGGGTCATTTTTCGTTCCTGATTCTGCTTTCTGCTACTTGGTGGCACAAAATAAAGGTCATCAAAATTCCTAGGGAATCAGCAAAAAGATAAACCCCTAGGTACCTCACCAAAAGAGAACAGGCACTAATCACAACTGCAGATATTTTGGAATTGCAATCTCAAGTATTTATCTATTTTTGGATGTTCTAGCCTGCTTCATTCATTCCAGAATTATTCACTTGCCATTTTCAAAGGGAAGGGAAATTACCATTTTCCCTTTCCTGGCCTAAACCCGGGCACTTAAAGTAAGTTTTTTCAAGTTCCAAGAGACCCAGACAGGAAAAGATAAGGGTTATTCTTAAATTCACTTGTCAATCTTGCCTTGTGGAACAGGGAGGGGCGGGGTTAACTTCCCTTCATATGACTGAATCGTGAGACTTGAAACCCAAAACAAAAACAAGTCTCTGAGGTCATCTAATAAAATCCCTCACTTTCCAGCTGAGGGGACAGAGGTTCAGCAAAGGGTGGGACCGTCGGGATTCAGGTTTCTGAAGAGAGCTGGGAATCACAGGAAAGGCAAGCCACCACACGCATGCATATGGACTGCAAGCCACACAGTAATCTACATGCACCAACACACAGGCTGCTGGCTTTCCTTCCAGCTCGAGAGACGATGTAGGAAAAGGACTACATTATGCAGATAAAGTCTTTCAGCAAACTAAATATTCTATTCCTTTACTTCACTTGCTCAATGCAAATGTTTTAAGAACCAACTAAAGGTACTATTCCAGGCCCTGAAGAGGTAACAGTACATCAGACAGACCCTGTCCTCGTGAAGTTTACACGGGGGGAAAAAAACGTAATCAACAGGGAAAAGAATAAGCAAGGAAACAAATAAGACAATATCCAATAACAGTCAACACCATGAAAGATACAAAAGTAGGTATTAGAATAGAGGGTGACTTGAGTTGCGGGGGTTCATTAGATAGGGTAGTCAGAGAAGGCTCCTGCAGAGGTGACATTTGAGCTGACCCCCCAATTACAAAAAGGAGCCAGCCGTGCATAGATGTGGAGGAAACTATTTCCAGAAAGAGGAAACAGCAAGTGCAAAGGCCCTGCGGTAAGTATGACCTCTGCTATGGTCAAAGAGCAGGAACGTGGTGAGCAGGAAGGGGAGAAGCAGGCATCACAAACCAGGTTACACAGGGCTGCCACCTTGGTGAGAGTTCTTCTAAGTGTACGGGAACTCCACGAGTTTCTGAACAGAGGGATGGCATGACGTGACACAACATGATTCATACTCTAGCCCTTGGGCTGCTACATGGAAAATGAACTCAGAATTTGGAAATTAACTCTGAAGAGATTTCAGTGTGACAAAGAGCAGAGATTTTTCCGTCGAGTTCTCACTTATTTTTCTTATACGGTGCTTCTTTTCCAACCCTGAACTTCTGTGGATATGTTAGGAGGAGAGAAGGGACCACTTGCCAAGTCTCTGCCCCAGCGGTGAGAGGTCTCTTCACATAAAAGTGCTTATAGGGCTGTCACGTCATCTTAGCACGTGCCTGAAAGGCCAGGTCAGTCAAGGACGCTGCTCCCCCACATGCAGCCTCCGTCAGCCGTGGGGCAAAGCTGAAGAAGGGAATGCCCACAGCTGACGATGAGAACCACGACTCAATAACCCACATCGCTTCTCCCAAGATAGAAATGAAGTTACTTATCACTTGGAGTGGGTGGTCTCTGTACACATACGCTGGACTAAGAAACGTGGGCAAATTCCCACATCTCGCAGCGGGTACTTTCCGTGAACCCACAGGACACGTATCTTTCTAAACTCCTAAGAACTCCACCTGAGTTGAGGCTCCTGAAGGTAAAAGGCTCAAAGACGAAATTCACCAGTCAGAACTTGATTCAAGCGGACAGAATGAGTGCACAAGACAACAGATTTCTCTCTAAACCTAATTTCTTTAGGCAGAATTCGGGACGGATTTCAAAAGCTCTCCTCATAATTATTAAGAATCATCCCCAAGACGGCTGACATTTCTGAGAAGAGTCTGCCCCTTTCTCTTTCAGGTTCTTGGAACCAGAGGTAACACGTAGTAGATGAAGATTTTAACTGAAAGGGGAAAAAGAATGAAGAAGTTATTTTCAAGAAAACAAAAGCCAGATTTGCATCGCTCAGGGTGAAAAACAGAAACGGGAGAGTGAAGAACTTTCGTGATGGAAGTGCTATTAGTATACTTCGACAAGAACTGGAAGGGAATATGAAAATAGCCTTTTATCTCGAACTTTTCTAGTTTAGGCAGGGAGCAAGTTATTAGTCATTTTTCCTTCATTGGTCCTAAAATGTTGTTTGTAACTAAACTAGTGAAAATTAGGAAGAAGGAAAATGATTGCACTGGATGCAAACTCAAATGCCCCTGGGGGCCAGGCAAGTAATAGAAAGATTTTTAAGCAGGTAGACATACAACAGTAGGGAGAAGCAGCACCTGTACCAAAAGGCCAAATACCATTGCAGCCAAAGAAAACACAGATTTGAAACGGGTTAATTCCACCTACAGGCTGAGAGTTCACTGCTGCTGACAGAGCACATGGAATACCAGCTGGCAAGTGTACAATAAACTCATCCGGACTTCCCAAAGCCTTAAGCCGACACAGAGGCCCCTGCTCTCTGCTGGCCCCTGCCTACCTTTCCAGGCTCACGGGTTCCCAGTCTCGAGAAGCCTAGAACATGGGAGGAGCTGCTAAAAACCTCACAGGTGTGATGTGGTGGGGGGGCGATTTAGAGCAACAGCATTCAATAGAAACAGCATGTGAGCCCCGTTCAAAAAGGGAAAACAAAACAGGTGAAATTTTAATAATATACTTCATTTAACCCAATTTATCCAAAATATCATTTCAACATGTAGTCAATATAAAAAAAATTACTAGTGAGATACTTTATGGTCTTTTATTTGTGTTAAGTCTCTGAAATCCAGTGTATTTTTTAACACTCATAGCACATCTCAGTTTGGACTGGAAGCTCTCAAGCGTTCAAGAGCCCCACGTGACCGGGCCGCCATATTGGACGGTGCAGGTCCAGCGCTAAGAGCAAAGGCTCTCCACAGCTGGCAGCAGGACCATAGGCAAGCCCCTGACTCCCCCACAGGGGGTGGGCCCATCTATAATGAGACAAGATGATTCCTAAGAGCTGTGCTGGCCCTAAAGGTCTGTAGAGTTCTCTCTCTTTCTTTCTGAGAAACAGGAGTATTAAATAGTTTTCAAAACACAGACACATACACACATACATACGCATACATAGATGGGCAAAAGAAAGAATGAATGAATGAACAGGGGTCAAATTATGGGTCACTATTGCTGATGCCATCAGCTGAGTAGGAGCAGGAGGCTGCAGGATAACGTTTCCTACAGCAGCGCTGGGAACTTGAAGGGAGGGCTAAAAGGAAAAGGAAGCTGCTGCCGAGAGTTCCATGTGGCCAGACACATCATCATCATTTATATGACAAATGAAATTCATAATCTGGTTGTCCCATTATAAGCGCCTGAGAACTTGAAATTGATTGGCAATAAATTTCATGCAAACATCACTTGGGCAAAGACTGCAGATTCAAAGCATCTGTTGTTATTGATTTATTTGACATTGTTCTTTAATATATACAAAGTTGGTTTTTTAAAGCATTTTCTTCTTAGGAAAGCTATGCAGGGACAATATTAAAATGTCAAGCAGCAGGGGCTGGCCCCGTGGACGAGTGGTTGAGTTCGCACGCTCCGCTGCAGGCGGCCCAGTGTTTTGTCGGTTCGAATCCTGGGCGCGGACATGGCACTGCTCATCAGAGCCACGCTGAGGCAGCGTCCCACATGCCACAACTAGAAGGACCCACAACTAAGAATATGCAACTATGTACCTGGGGGCTTTGGGGAGAAAAAGGAAAAAAATAAAATCTTTAAAAAAAAAAAAAACAGTCAAGCAGCAGAGGACATCAAGTTGGTGTGAAAGTTCAGCTGAATCTAATGATAATATATTTTCATTCTTGTGGATTCAAATGACTTGCCCAAATTCCTAGCCGGGGTGTTTGAAAACCTTCTAATGCTTTTAGAAGACTGAGACGGTCAGAAATCTGGCAAGGTGTTTCTTTTACTTTTAATACACCAAAAATAAACAACTTTATATTGGGTCTCAATAAATCCTGACTTGATATAAACCTTCCAATCCTGACGCCAGGGCAGAACGAAACCCAGGCAACAGCTATGACATTACCTGGTAAGACGCTGCGGTTATCCACACACATGGAGAAGATGCGCTCGTACACCAGCTTTCCTGGGGAGAAAAGGACAGATGGTCATGCTCTTCAGGAGCAAACAGTAAATAAACGTTTGTTAATTAGGGACAGAGATGGCGAGCGCTCAGACAAGCTTTAACTTGTTATAGTATGCCGCCACCTAGTGGGACACATTTTAAGCCACGTTTCTTTTGTTTTCGTTTATAATAGAAGAGGGGACTTTTACTCTCTGTGAGAGGCAGGAAAGTGATTCTTCTCCCGTTAGAGTCTTAACTGAAACCTGGGGCTAAAGGAGCCTCAGGCAGCTCCATCCACGCAATGGAGAACGGTCCAGCTCATACTCTAGCCAGAGGCTGTGAACGGGCAGCCTGAGGGCTGAATCCAGCCAGTGATCCGTTTTCTTTGGTCCACAACACAGTGGCCAACAAAGTGTTTTAACATTTTTTTGAGTTAGCTGCCAACACACAGAAACTGGGAGAATTCACATTAAAAACTGGATTTCCTGCGTCTTCACATACTATGTGCCAAAAACGGCCCATATCCCTATAGGATAAAAATGAGCTAGAACAGACTAGTAGCTGCCCCTGAAATGGCAAATATACTATTCAGTTTGCCACAGTCTCCACTGCTCCCTACTACCTCTCATCAACAACCTGCTTCACAATTATTTATGTGATTCACCTGGTCCTAGAAGCATTGCGATTTGAGATTTGATACAATGCAAGTTGTACGAGGGCAGAGATTTGTGTGTTTTGTCCGCTGACACATCCCCAGGACTAGATCAGTGCCTGGCATATAGTGGGTGCTTAATCTTTGCTGGATGGATAGGTGAACATATTCTAGGTTGTGTGGGTCACAGGTCACTATCGCAACTCCTCAACTCTACAGTTGTAGCTCAAAAGCAGCCACAGACAAAAGTCAATACATGAATGTGGTTGTGTTCCAGGAAAACTTTATTTCCAAAAATAAGTGGGCAGTCTGGACTTGGTTTACAGGCTAACCCCTAACCTAGCACAAAAAGATTTATTCTGTGCACATATTTTGGAAAATGCTATCAATATTCGAGGGATAAAAATTATAGTTCCATTCATTTCTGGATCCTCCCAAATCACCTTTCATGTCAAAAGTATTTCCCTGTGCTCATCTTTTCCCCTATAACCCCATCATTCAGGGCAGTGAAGAACCTTATACCTTGTCCACACAGGGACACAGAGACAGGATTGTTATAAGGACCTTTTCTGGTCAAAGAACGTAAGATCCAGTGACATCATCAAGAGACAACATGATGCCAGAATTATGTGCAGGAAGCCAGCCAAGCAAAGAGGAGCCACACAGGCCTCTCCCCTAGTGTGGACCACTTCCATTACCATCACATCAAGACACCTGTTGCAAACGTACATTCCTGGGGCCCCCTCAGAGATAGTGGAAAAGAGGATCTTGTGGGGTGAGGACTAGGAATATAAATTTAGAATAACTGTGCTGGGAATCCTTATCCACACTCAAGTGTGAGAACCACTGATTTAGGCAGGCACCATGGGTCTCTGAGCTAAGACTTGCCTTGGGTGTGGGGATCGCTAGAAACTGCGAAAAGCCTTGCTCCCTGCTCCAGTGATTCTCAACCATGGCTGAACACTCAGAGCTCCTAGGCCGCCTGTGAGTATGCGGACGGCTGTGTCCATCCTCAGAGGTCTTGATGTGAATGGTCTGGGGTGATGCACGACCCTCTGGAATGGTTTTAGAGCTCCCCAGGTGTGCAGCCAAGGATGAGAAGCATGGCTCCAAACCATCAACTCAGTTCAGAAGTTCCCAGGGAGCCTGAGGGAAGCAGCCCCAGTTGTCAAAGCCACCTGCCTCTGTCACTGGGCAGAAAGCGTTTGGTCACCTGCAGCCACAGCTGCTGCCGAGAGGCCTCCTCCGAGATGAGCAGACAGAACCCCCCCGCATCGGGGCTGCACGCATTCTGACCCCAGGCCATCACAGCAAGCCCAGCTGGGCATAACTTCTCACTCCTGTGGTGTGCAGACAGGCCTTAAGAGCACAAATGTCTTTACTTCCTCTGCAAAAAGCTTGCCATCTCTCTCAAACTAGCTTTCTTAAAAAGAAAACAAAAAACAAAACTACTTTTTATATTCACCTTCATATTCTAAGGGGCCTTTAACTATAAAATCACTTTTGGCCAAATAAGTTTGGTGAATTTTTCTTCCTTTGTGAAGTTAGCGGACAACAGTTTTGACAATAATACCCAATCCTAGATTTACCTCCTTTCTCGATTCACGTTCTTATGAATTAAGGACACTAAAACAGACAAGCAAGGACAGTGCTAACAGCTAACATTTTCTGGGCATGCACTTAGTGCCAGGCACTGTTCAGAGTCGTTGACACCGACTCTGCCCGCAAGCTCTGCCACACAGCCCTGCAGGCCTCTGGGCACGCAGGCAGGGGCTCCGGAGCCCAGCTCCGTGCTCGCTGCCTCTCTCAAAATGACAGTCCAGCATGCATCTTCCCGCTGCTGATGCCCAGGCCATGTCCCACACCCTGCCCAGCAACATGCTCCAACCCTTGGTCAGTCATGTCAACAACCAGTGAACACCTGCCCCTGTACCATCGCGCACCTTTCTACGGAGCAGAGAGTAATGACGATGCTTGCAAGATGGGCCCAGCACCCCGAGTTTCCACCCACGCATGGCTGAGTTCCACTCTTGTTTAAAAAGTGGAACCTGCTCATCAGGCCAAAGCATGAAGTCTCCTAGGGCACCAGCAGACACAGCCTGCCCCAGACCTGAGGAATGTTATCCACAACAGATTCAGACAACAGCACTGCTGGGAAGACCACCCAAAGTGGGGAAGGGGGTAGCTGCTGAAAGCAGGGAGCTCACCTGAATGCTCGGTTTTGAATAGGAAAAGCATTCCCACGGTTCTAACTCAAAAAGGCTGCGAAGGTAGTGAACGGGTTTCTCTCCCAGCCCGTCCCCATCCACACCCTCTGCAGGTTTCCACTTTTATTAGCTTCTTGGGTATGCTTCTAATGCTTCTTTAGGCAAACACAAGCGAATATGAACAAGCATTCCAATTTTTCCTCCCTCCTTACACAAAACAGAGCACACTCTATAGCCAGTCTGCAGCTTGACTCTGTCACGTGACGACACCCCCGGAGATCTCCCTGGCGGAGCACAGAGCCCATCCTCACTCTCAGAGGCCTCCTGGTGCTCCAACAGACACATGTATCATCATCTATTTAACTGGTGCCCTACTGAGGGCCACTTGGGTTCTAATCTTCTGGAATCACAAATGGAATGAATTCCCAGAGGTGAAGTTGCTGGATTAAAGGAATACAAATTTATAATTTTCAAGGAGAGGAGAGATTCCCCCGTGAGCCAAGTAGAAGAGAAATAAAGCAAGTGCTCTGACTGTGCAGAGAACTCACTTTGAGTCCCAGCTCTGCCACTCACTACCCTTGCAACCCTGGGCAAGCTACTTTACTCTCTGTGCGTCAGGCTCCTCATCCGTGAAATGGGCACAATTACAGACCCGACCTCACAGGGGGCTGTCACGAAGACGACGTGACTTACTATTCTAAAGCACCTGGGTCAGGCCCAAGGCCATTATTTGTTGAGGGTTTATTACCGTTATTCTCACCTCCCAGCCCGGCTAATTTCTGCGACACAGCAAGGAGGCAGGCATCTGCACCGCATCCCAGCTTGCTGAGGTATGGGCCTGGGACGCCACCAGCAGAGGCTGCAGAAGGACTGCCCAAAATCCTCGCAAGGTTAACGTCTGGATCGAGCCAGGCCTGCAGGCTAGAGACTGGATCTTATCGGTGTCCCCAAGCTAGTCTTGCTCAGGGATGCTGACTCATGCAAAAGAAACTTGCAGGAGGCTGGCGAGGGAACCCAGGAGGCCAAGGTGTTAATTCACCACAAGAAACAGAACTGTCAAGAGAACCAGATACAGGCAGGGGCCTCTTTCCCTGACTGACGTCCTCGCTCCCTGAAGGCAAGCTGTGTATGAGGACAAGGCGAGGCCCAAGGAGCGTGTGACTTGATACCTATTCTGAGGCCCAATGCATCCATCCATTCTGGATCACTTCTCCCATCTCCACCACCTCCCTGGGTCCATGCCACCCTCATTCCTCACCTAAAGGGCTACAATGGCCTCTTATCTGGGCTGCCTGCTCCACCCTCACCCTACAGTCTAATCCCAACCCAGCAGCCAGAGAGAGCCCATTAAAACCCAAATCAGATCGTGTGTCTTCTCTGCTTAATACCCCTGGTGGCTCCTCATGCCCTCAGGGTCAGAGCCCAAGTCCTTCCAATGTCCAAGACTCTGGCCATGTCAGCTCCTGCGCCACCAACCCCTTGCTCACCCGACTCCAGCCACCCAGGCCTTTCAGTTCTCCAAACCTGCCAGACCTGCTCCCACCTCAGGGTCTTTGCACTGGCTGTTCCTTGGCCTAACCCAGCCCCATGTTGCCAGCATGTGGCTCATCTCTCCCCTCCTTCAAGTCCTTGCTCACAACTCCCCTTCTCAGCGAGGCCTCCTCTGACCACCCTATTTAGAAGCACAGCCCGCCCCCACTCCTGCCTGCTTCCCTCAATTCCCCTCACCCTGCTGTTTTATTTTTCCTCCATATCCCCAATCACCATTTAACATACAACCAGGTTTACTTCTTTGTTCTGTAAATCCTCTCTTACCAGCCTGTAAGCCCACAAAGTCAGGGATTTTTGTCTCTAATTTGCTGACACATCCTCTGCGCCCAGCAGAGTGCCTGACGCCCCCTCTCCAGGACATCTGAACCCACAGGTCCTGTCTTTTAGCTGGGACATCTCTTCTTTTAGCCCAGCTGGCTCCCATTCCCCTTGCTTCTGGCCACTGCATCACCTTTCTTCTTCTGGGGTGACCCAGGCCCAGACCACCTGCATATTTCATCCCTGATGCCATGACTGGCTCAGGGACCGACACGTGATCCCAGCCAGGCCAACGGGATGGGATCCCGGGACTTCCGTTGGAATGCTTGGAAAAAGAAGCTCTTCCTTGTCCTAGGACTAGTGGCAGCAAAGCTGACAGAAGCTGAGGACACCTTGTGGAGCCTGAGAATGAAGCCAACCCAAGGGAGAGCACTAGAAAAAGTCAAGGTCCTGAAGACATCGTTTGAATTCCTGAAGCCAGCTGTACCCGAAACCAGAAACTACCCCTGGACTTTTCAAAATAAACCAATAAATACCCGCTTTTCCAAGACTAGTATGAATCGGATTTTCTATCACTTCTTCTAACTAATATACTCAGGTCTCCGGTCACCTGTGCAGAAATAAATGGGTCTCTCCGAGTGACAGTTTGTTTTCTGACACATGAGATCTTTCAGTGGGTTACAGACAAGACTTGCCGGGTTGGCAGCCCATTGGTCGTTCCTCAGTAAGACAGCGAATGTGTGTTCTGATCTCCTATGTGTCCGGCTCTCAGAAGACAACTGGTTCCCAGTTATTATGGGCACCTCGACGCTAGACATCACGTACAGCCTAGAGGGCTGCGTGGTTTGGGCAAACTGTTAATGGCATGATGCTCTGGCCACTGACCACCGCCAAGTAGCACAGAGGCCTCTTGTTTCTCCAGAGGAGCTCCAGGTTATCCTCTTCAGTCTAGACCCCTCTGCTGGGCCCCCAAAGATCATTCTGCCTGAGGGCTGGAGCGTGGGACAAGCAGCAGCCACTCTGATACAGGAAGACCTCATAGGAGCTGCAGCCGTCACCCAGGAAGGAGAGGGGCGTGGATCGGACTAAGGTTTTAACAGTGAAGAGGGAGAAAAATGGACACAACGGGGAGAGATTTCGGAGGCTGAACTGAAGAACCTGGTGATAGACTGGACATGGGGTAATGGGTGGGGAGAATCTCAGATTTCCCACTGGGGCAATGGGGTACATTCCCCGACACAGAAACCCACTGAAGGTATGGAAGGGGCTGGGAAGAGATGCCAAGTTCAGTTCTGAACAAAGCGAGTTCCAGATGCCATGAGATGGCGACGGACCCGAGCTGGTTTAGACCAGACGTGTGCCCCCCGAGCCGCTTCACTCGCTCACTTTACTTACCTACCAGAAGGTTAGAAAAAAATCTAATTTAAGACTCTTACAAAAACAGCACCTTTGTTAATGAGCATGGGGGGAAGGGGCGGGGCTGGTCTCTCTCATGGTTTACCTAATTACTTAAACCGCCACGGAGCCTAACTTAAAGCAACTCTGCCGCCCAACTTCTGGCACAACAAACGTATTTCCTAAGTCTACGCAGAACGACTCCACTTACCAAATGTATCAAGGATGTCGGTGATGAGGACAAATTTGCTTGGGTAGAACTGAATAACGCTTGTGTCCGAAAGAAGCTTCGAGCACTAGAACAAGAGAAGAGAAAATTTACTGTTGTGTTTGACTTGAGTGGAACGCTCCAGGCCTGGAAACCTAAGGATTCCTGCACAAAAGTGCCAGCGCTTTCCACGGACCAAGCGTGTGCTAGACACTGGAGAGAGAAAGATGCGCAATACCATAGCACCTTCAACAAAGGGAGCCAGAGGCTGCTCCCGACAGAGCCTCTTTCGGAAGGCACTGCCACCTCCCTCCAGGAAGGCCACAGGACTGAGGAACCTTAGCCAGAAGGGTCTCTGTTCATACACTGGACCAGGGTCACACCGAAAGCCACGGAGGGAAGTCACTGACACCTCGCCCTCCAGGGGCTTGCAGACGACTCAATCCTTGTTCCAACTGCTCTTCAGCATGGCTTCCTCTGGTTTATTTCAGGATGGTCTCGATTCTTAAACGCTCTCTTCCAGGAAATGACCCCGTAAGTAAATCTCCAGGGTTTCTTACACGAGCATCTGTTATTGATTCTCACTCCCATATTCCCCTCAAAAAGAAACAGGGCAAGCTTCGAGTACCTGTTTCTCTGGAACTATGACCTTCGACGCTGGGAACATTTCGGCTTTGCAAGGAATTGCTCAATCCCTATAGTGTCACTTGTGCCAGAGGGCCATCGACATGCTCAGGACTCTTAAGGAAGACTGCAGCCACACACAGCGGCCCAAACACCCCAGATTAAGTCAGCTTTTATAATCAGAAACAGAAAACCTACTTCTATTTTGAAGAACTACATTTAATGCGTCCAAGTCTTCACAAATTCAAAAGTCTGCATAAGGAACTAAATCACCCTGCCATACTTTGTCATTCCAGTGGCTGACTCTCAGATAAACGTCACTTAAAAATAAAAAAACATTTGGACATTTAGAAAGGGTCCTTTAATATGCATTTCCAAGGGCAGAGAATGGTTCGAAAGTTTATCCGATCCAGAGGCAGGCTGACACTTTGGCGTTGTTACCCAATCTAATGTCTTCGATTCACCAAGTTTCTCCCTAGCATTACAGTCTAAAAGTAAACAACGTGTCTAATTTGTGAAACATCCTCTCACAGTCCAAATGTTACTGGGGGTGGAGGCGGAGGGGTGAGGGGAACGTAAGCTGTGAAAACAATGGTGTTGACACCAACGTGGCATTTGGATGGACCTAGAACTCCATTTCCTGATGCCTCGCTTTGTGTTTTTCAAATGCCCTTTATGAGAGCTCCAACTTAAACAACACCCCCGTGAGATTTCAGGGCTTGGAGAAGACAAACAACTCGGAATCCTAGAGACTGTTGACAGTACACAGCTCTCGGTTCCCAGGGATGTGACATCTCCCCAGCTCCTACCCAGGGCCCCTCGGAGATGAGCGGCTGCCCGCTGGTGAGGTGAGAGAGAGGGAATTCAAACAGAAGACTGCAAATTAAACACAGCTGGCGCTGCACAACATCTGTGCACTGATTTTCCCCCAAGCTGGTGTCACAGAACATAGGTTTTACGAAGGATAACAGGAAGCAAAAGTTTTCTAATCCATAGTTAAAGTCATCATAATGTTATAAATCGGAGTTAGCTATTAAATCGCTATTTTCAAGATTCTAGTTTTTTGAAGCTTTGGTGAGGTTTCCTCAACTTGTCCTGTAAGAATCAGGCACCCCAGGGTGCGTGTTAAAAAACAGATTCCCTGCTCGACTCCAGACCTCCAGCCCAGGCAGCAGGGAAGCAGTATTTTCAACGAGGGCTCCAGGGATGGTGGCACTGAAACCAGCCTGGGACCCACGGGGCTCGTGATAGCCACAATCCGCAGCACACTCTGAATGGACTGAGCCTTCTGTAAACCAGGTGTTCTCCACTTCGGAACCATCCAGGGGGCTTTTAACAATGACGGCAGCTGGGGCCCACTCCCAGAGACTCTGATTAAACTGGTCTGGGGTGCAGCTTGTACTCACATTTTTTAAAGCTCCCATGTGATTCTAATGTGCAGCCGAGGCAGAGAACCATTGTCACACACGTTTCCTGAACAACTGACGGATAAACTACTCTGCTTGAAATACCTGCTATCAAACTTATTAATGTTGCTGGAAAAATACAAAAAGGATTTTTTCATTTATTTCCAATTAGCAATATTCTAGAAGGACACTAGCAGTTTCTAAAATTAAGTTAGGGTTAAAAAGGAATCTGAATAGCCAAAGCAAATGTATAAATTAAAAGATAATTTATGGCTGAGTACTAAGGAAGAATGAATGGATGGATGAAAGGAAGCAGAATAATTAATCAGAGGATAATTATTACCCAAGATATAATGAGAAAAAATCTGAAAAATTGTGAAAATTAATAAAGGGAAATCTTATTTAAAATGGAGGCAGGAGGCAGGAGGCCAGAAGGGGGAGCTCCCATGCAGTACCACTTGAGGTCAACTACAGGAAAGATAGTCCATTACAGACCCCAAAGGAAGAAGTCCTCAACAGGAGGGATTGTTAACTACGGGAAGAAATGTACACTGCATCCCAAGCAGAAATCCACTAGCCTAGCAGCTAGCCAATAAGAGCGTGTCATCACCCTGAACTCCCACTTTACTCCTATGGACTTTCCTTCAAAACAACCCATCCCAACTTCCTCCTTTTTCTCTGTAAAATACCCTTCCTCTTCCTTGTTTGTTAGATTTGCATATGGTCCGCCACAGCACACACATCCCAAACTGCAATTCTTTGGCTATTCTCGAATAAACTCGTTTTGAATAAACTAGCTGTTTTATTTTTAAGGTTGACAAAAATCAATAAGAAAAATACAAATAACATAATGGAAAAATGAGCAAAAGGAATCAACAAAAGGCATTTTACAGAAAAGAAAACTGTAATGGCCAATAAACATGTTAAAAGATGCTCCATCTTATTATAATCAGGGAACTGCAAATTAAAACCACAATAAAATATGATTTTATTACCTCCCAAATTGGGGAGATTAAAATAGAAAGTCTGCTCATACCAAATGTTGGCAGGATGCTGAACAGCACAGACCCTCACACTTCCACTGCTGCTACGAGAAGACACTGGCACAGCTACTGCGCAAAATAATCTGGCACCATCCAGTAAGGATGAAGAGGCACACACCCTAGACCTGAGCAATTCCACTCTTAGGGATGGGCCTTCATCTAGAGAAAGGCCAGCAGACACGTCCAAGAGTGTGCACACAACGTCGTTCACAATAACGAAAAAAGAAAAAGAATAACAAAGAACCAGATGCCCATCAACAGAAGGAATGATACAGAATTTATGCATCAGTGGACTAACTATTGTTAAGCTGGTAAATCTCTCCAACTGATCTGCAGGGTCAATGCAACCCCTATCAAAATCCTACAAGATGCGGGGGGGGGGGGGGGGGGGGGGGCGGTGAAATTGACAAGATAATCCTAAAAATCATATGGAAATGCAAAGGACCCAGAATAGCCAAAACAATTTTAAAAAAGAAGAACAAAATTAAAAGATTTACACCACCCAGTTTCAAAACTGACCATAAAGCTACAGTAATCAGGACAGTGTGATTGGCAGTGTACTGGCATAAGGACAGACTTACAGAGCTATGGAACAGACTTGAGAGACCGGAAATAAATCCTTATACTTATGATCAACTGACTTTTGACAAAGGTGCCAAGATAATTCAATTGGGAAAAGACAGTCTTTTCAACAAATGCTGCTAAGAAAATTGGATATCCACGTGCAAAAAAAAAAAAAAAAAAGCTTAGACCCTTATACCACACACAAAAATTAATTCAAAACGAAGCACAGACCTAGATATAAGAGTTAAAACTATAAAACTTTTAGAGGAAAACAGAAAAAAATTCTCATGACCTTGGGTTGGGCAAACAGTCTTAGACACAACTCCAAAAATAAGCCAAAAAAGAGACAACTGACAAATTGGACTTTATTAAAATTAAAAATTTCTATACGTCAAAAGACACTCTTATGAAAATGAAAAAACAAGCCACAGACTAGGAGAACATCCATGGATCATGTTTGATAAAGAACTTGTATCAAGGATATATAAAGAATTGCTACAACTCAACAAGAAGATAAACCACCTGATTTTAAAAAAGGGCAAGTGTTGAATAGACATTCACTAAAAAATATAAAAATGGCCAATAAGCATATGAAAAGATGCTCAACATCATTAGTCAGTAGGGATGCACAAATTAAACTACAGTGAGACACCACTTCAAACCCACTAGGATGGCTATAATCAAAAAGACAACAAGGCGTGTTGGAAAAGATGTGGGATAACTGGAATGCTGGTGGGAATACAAATGGCGCCACCATTTTGGAAAGCAGTTTGGCCATTTCTCAAAAAGTTAAACATAAGCTTACCACGCAACTGAGCAATTCCACTCCTAGGAATCTACCCAAGAAAAATGCTAATGTTCACAGTAGCATTATTCATAACAGCCAGAGTGGAAACAGCCCAAATGTCCATCAACTTGTTAATGGATAAGTAAAATGTGGTTATCCACACAATGGAATACTATTCAGCAGTAAAAAGTATAAAGTACTGATACTACAATATGGACGAACTCAAAAACACTGCTAAGCAAAAGAAGCCAGATACAAAAGATTATACATTCAATGATCCCATGTCCAGGAAATGTCCAGGAAAGGCAAACTTATAGAGCCAGAAAGCACATCAGTGGTTTTCTGGGGCTGGAAGTGGCAACAGAGTTTGACTGCAAACAGGCTTAAGGGAATTTGGCGGGGGTATGAAAATGTTCTAAAAGAGGACTGTGTAATAGTTGCACAACTCTATAAACTTACTAAAACTCACTGAATTGTACACTTACAATGGTGGATTTTAGGATATGTAAAATATATCTCAATAAAGCAACAAAGCAAAACTAAACCAAAAAGACCTACCGCAGAGCAAATAAAGTGAACGCACTCATTCCCCCACTCTGCACCCGGGCCATCATCTGCGGATAAAGACGGCTGTCTTTAAAGGACAGTCGGCCCTCGCTCTCCACGGGTTCCACGTCCACAGATTCAACCAACAGCGCCCACGATGGCTGCGTCTGTACCCAACACGTACAGACTTTATTTGCTTGTCATTATTCCCCAAACAACACAGTACACCAACCATCTACATAGGTTTGCATTGTATTAAGTATTATAAGAAACCCAGAGATGGCTTAAAGCATACAGGAGGATGCACATTCTACGCCATTTTACATAAGGGACTTGAGCACCCTCGGATTTCGGTATCCGTGGGGGTCCTAGAACCAAGCCCCTGCGGATACCGAGGGACGACGGACCGCATTGAAAGTAAAACAATTCCTATTAACCAGATGTGGAGTTAATTAAACACTTTCCTGGTTATTTTCTTTGAGAAGACATGAATCAAATCTCCTCCAGATGTAAAACTCTTAGAAGTCACAGTTCTATACTACAATATGGAGAGATGTTGCCAGTAAAAATATTGTGAGGACGTGCTTGTTGGTTGAGATATTTCTCACTTGAGCCACTCAGCAAGCAGCTCCTCATGTGCATCCAGGATGAGAGGCCCGCTTCTTCAAGAGTATCTACCTTGAAAACTAACAACCGTGATCGAAGAGAAATGGGCTTGGCTTTGCCCGTCTCATCAAACACACAAAACAGCACCTGCCAGACCAACTGTCATCTGAAAAGACTTCCGGTACCCGGCGTAGAGTCTCCCAGACTCTCTTCAGTCTCTCTCGAGACAAGCAGGTGAGAAAACAAACGTCCCATCGCCATGACACTGAACGAGAATGGCATCTGTCCTTTTCAACTAAAATAGCTGTTCAGAAATTAACGGTGCTCTGAAATCCGAATGCTTACATCATTCCTTTTACAGTGCACTTCTGGCCATGGTTTGCCACGATGATCTTAAGAGTCAAGAAATAAAATAAGATGTTTTTCTTACAGAACTAGCTTCTGTGATCCAAGAGTTTTCATTAACAAAGAGGATTCAACAAATGTCCCTCTCCTAACACTGTAAACATGTCTTCTTAGTCCCGCAATTATGCAGAATAGGACTCAAAAATGCATGTATCAGGGACACACAACCATCAGCCCCACACATACAATGATCTGGTCAAGGAAATCCAAAAGACAGTTGTTCAATCTTTAGTCTACATAAATCATAAATACATCAGGGTTGTACCGGGGCCAATGAACTATACAACCCAGAGGCACCATTAATTCTGTAATTTAGGGTGAATTTCCTGGAATTGGCCAGTGCACAACCTGTGCAGCTGCACATGGTGGCCCTGGATTAGCCATCTCATGAACACACAGATTTGTAATCATGGCCTTTCACAGGAAGTATGTGAAAATGAAACAGAGGAAAAAAATAGGGTAAGACCCTGAAGGCAGGCCTCTGAAAACCCTAATTATCTACAAAGGAGTTTTACATAGGAAATTCTGAAAGAAAAAAAGAAAAACACTAGAACTGACCTGGATGACTATTTTTAGAGCCTTCACTTTCTGGTCTGAGGCCCAGGCGTCTTTCAGAGACTGGTTGAGCTCCTCTATGCGGTTCACGTAATCCTGCTGAGTCAAATTCAATAGCTCCTTTTGGGATCCCTGTGGGCACAAAGGAGGAGGATGTAGGCACAAAAGGAAAAACATTGTGGGACCACTGCCCCCAGGAACGACACTCAGTGTCAGCTGAGCGCCAGCTCTAAGTTTCCCTCACCCCCACAAGGATGGCTAGTTTTGTCTTGGGATCAAAGAGGTTCTCTGAGTTTTCTGCAGCGACAGACAGCATGCAGTGACTGAGGCAAGCCAGCCCTAAGCCAAAGCCCAGCTCAGCCTCCTAGCAGCAGGACGGTTCTGCGTGAGCTGCTTCCTCCCGGAGCCTCGTCCGTGCACACGGATAACAAGACTCACCTTACTCAGCAAACTGTTACTGGGGCCTGCTGTGCGCCAGGCATGATAGACCAGATGCTCGAGACACAAGGCGAGCAAGGAGACGTTACTCCTGCGCTACTGGAGTTTAAGGTACAGAGGCCGAGACGGATGTTCACACAAACTGAGATAAGTGCTCAGGAGAAGACAACAAAGACACACATCGCACTCAGCAAACTGGAGGTTGCCCATTGTTTCACGTAGCACTAAGGAAGAAAAATGCTGATCGGCTGACAGGCAGCAACCTGAGAGACACTGCCCCAATTTCCAGGGATATTCAAATATAGGGGAGGAGCCAGCCCAGTGGCCTAGTGGTTAAGTTTGTGCACCCTGCTTCAGTGGCCCAGAATTCGTGGGTTCAGATCCTGGGTGCAGACCTACACACTGCTTGTCAAGCCATGCTGTGGCGGCATCCCACATACACAGTAGAGGAAGACTGGCAGATGTTAGCTCAGGGACAATCTTCCTCAAGTGAAAAAAAAAAAGAGGAAGGTTGGCAACAGATGTTAGCTCAGGGCCAATCTTCCTCACCAAAAAAAAAAAAATTTTTTTAAATGTAGGGGGAAAGGTTCATCTTAGAACGGAAGAAATACAGTCACAAAGGAATGGACTCTAGACTGGTGGTCAAGAATGCTTTCTTGGAGGAAGTGACGCTTGAGACAAACTCTCAGTGGTGTACAGGAGTTAGCCAGTCAATGGGAGGTGTTAACTAGACCAGGGAGAAAGCATTTGGGACAGTGAGTACACCACAGCGAAAACCTGGGGCAGAGGACATTGAGATGATCACACGGCTGAAATAACAATGTATGTAAAGACAGCGCAGCCCCTGGCACACGGGACATGGTCGTTAACACCGGCTATGGTCAAGGTGCTATTTACACAGCTCACAGGAGTGAGGGTCACGCTAATCTGCACGAGGCGCCCAGGAACCAAATCATTTTTATATGAACATTCCCTGGAATGTAAGTGAAGAATTCTTTATTAAAGAAATACAAGTAGAAGGTTCAGGAAATTTGGACTGTGAGATAGGGTCCTCCCTGCCCCTCTGCAGTAGGAGAAGCCACGTGACTAGTTTGGGCAAATGGACTGTGAGCAGAGTGGCGTGTGTCCCCTCTGGAGGGAGGAACTGAAAAGTGACCCTTTCTTCCGCTCTGCTGTGACAAGCCTGGAAGCCATCTGTTGAGGTGGAAGCATCATGAGATGCTGGTGTGTCTGCCACCTGCACCAGATGAGTAACGTGAGGAAGAAATAAACCTTTGCTATATTAAGCCACTGAAATATGAGAGTTCATTTGTCACCACAGCATAACCTAGCCTTAACCCTGACTGATACTCTACGTTAACCTGGAAGCCACAGGGCAGCCGTCCGCTGCTGTGAGCAGGGAGAAGCAAGGAAACCAGCCTGCAGGGAGAAAATGGGGCACTAGAAAGAGACAGTGACTAGAGTCTACATGGATCTGAGAGAGACAGAGGACAGCTGACAGGCTTCTGGGTGGTTCTGCAGTTCCTGGTTCCAGGCCACTGTGCCCTTGGCTTCAGGGTAGTGCCCCTGCCGCCTGCGCTACAGTCCCCAATTTCAACTTGAGCCAGTTCAAGCGACTTTCAGATACTCAGACTTTGATTAAAACCCTCAGGAACTCCCTTCCTACCAGCCAAGGCTGGCGATGCCAGGCAGCCTGAGGCTCTTGGGCAGCTTAATTCAACATGTGTCCTTTCTGAATTGAGAAGACAGACCTTGGACTATCAGACTCTGCTGAGCACCCAAGAGCTCTGGTCTCAGAGCGGGGAGGACCCTGAACCCCAGGGCAAGATGCAGGAGAGCAAAGGCAACCCCATGAGATGGCCTTTTGTGGATTTCGAAGCAGCCCCATGGTCCACACAACTCTAGTGTTCATCCCCTTTTTTAGATGACGGAATGCGTATAGGAAAGGTGAGCCCCCCAGGGCACCCTGTTAATAAGCAGTCGAGCTGAGGCATCTAGACTCAGGAGGGTGACGGTGACAGCAGCTGAGGCTTGCAGGGGATGTAACATGTGCCGGGACTGTTCTAAGCTCTCCCTCTACATTAACTCATTTAACGCCTGTAACAATCCTAAGAGGCAGGGACTATGCAGCACCCCCATTTTACAAATAAGTAAACTGAGGCACAGGCCTGTCAAGCACCTTGCCCCAAATCACAGAATTACCAAACACTAGAGCCAGGATTCAAACCCAGGCAGTCTGGCTCTCACCCATGACGCTGTGCTGCTTCTCTGCAGAGTATTCCAGAGGACACAAACCCTCCGGTCTCCAGGGGCCGGGTTAGTAATGTCAGGGAGGAGCGTGCAACCCGGACAGTGCATGCCCTGCTTAAGTGCAAGAATGTGGGTCCACAAGTATCAGGTGGATTTCAAGAGAAGCCAGAAATCTGGATTAATATGTTAAATTTACGAATTTTTAAGAGTTGGCAAATGAGTCGTGTTTTTTATAAGCACGTGCAGGCCAATTAAGAGATTCCCATGGGCCACATCCAGCCAGCAGAGCAGCCGTGTGCAGCCCCTGCAGAAGTGTCTGATCCTTATACTACGCAAGGGGGTTCCCAGGGAGGTGGCTCCAGTTGGCTTTTACAGTTAAATCCTGTCCCCAGACGACCCAGCTTGCTCAGGCATCAGTGAGAAAAGATGCCTTCAAAACCCAGCCCATGGCAGGCTCCTGCGAGCTCGGCCAACTGCACCGCTGGCATCTTTCCCTGGATCAGTCGCTGCCTCAGGAGGACCGAGCACAATGCTCAGCTCCAGAATTAATCACAGAGCAGCCACTGAGACTGATCTCACTTGGCAGAAGAAACAAGAGCACGGCTCCTCCCCGGGCTCAGCACATGACCTCCTCACCTCCTCAAAGTCATCCAGCTCCTCCAGCCTGGTCCGAACCTTCTCCGACATGGCGGATGTGGCGGTCCCGGCTTTGCCTAAACAGAAGGGATTCATGTCACACAGGTGGCTTTCCTGTCACCAATACCCCCACAGGAAGGCATCTTTCCCTCTACACTTCATCATGAATAAAGAGGCCAGGGAACAATTTTATTACAGAAAACTCTCCAAGATTTTGAAAGCAATGTCCTTAGTAACCAGAGCTCCATCGGAAACATTTCTGCTTAGAAGCTGCCCCTGGGAGCACAGCCTGCCAACCTCAAAAACATTCCACTACACTCGATATTTACAAACTTTTCACTGCATCATTTGTTTAATCCCAAAGAAAGACAGTCCAGATAAGGATGCCAAAAATCCTTCATTTAATTGTTTTCCATGAACAAAAGGGCCTCTCAGGCTCGTACTCACAGTGTAGAATTGTACCCTTATCCTAGCAAAACAACACTCTCACTGTCTGCCCCGGAGCGGGAAACACTAGGGCTTCAAAGCCCTCTCTTCAAGCAGACAAGGCTAGCTGTGCCTCCTTCCATCATCTGGCAGCACAACTCTCTCCATCGGCAAGGACCGGCGGAGAGAGATGAAGGCGAGAACTCCAGGCCGGGGGCCAGCCGCAGGGCAAGGCTATCTGTCCAGCTGGCTGGTGCTCGCCAATGTCTCCTATTTCAGAACACTTTCCCCTTCTTAAGGGGGCTTCTCTTCTAGAGCTGAGGTCCCTTTACTCCTGCCTACCAAACTCACTCTCCAGGTTTATCTTTTAAGGCACTGGTTTCTCAGCTAGCACTGACTCACAGACATGTCTGGGGTCCCCCGAGAGCACGGCACTACTATTTACTTACTAACCACTGCTAAAGTGGAGAAGTTTCCAAATAATCTACCTTTTTTTTTAACCTTGTTTCTACTTTTTCCTTCCTTTTGAAATACATATAGAACACGCATACGTGTACATTTTAACAGATCGTTACAAGACCTTTGTAACCACTGCCCATATTGTCTTGCTTCTTTTATTCACCACTAACTCTAGTTCATGAAATTTACCCATGTTGTTGCACAGAGCTGAAGTTCACTCATTTTCACTGCTGTTTAGCATTTTCCATTGTGTGGACACGCCACAATTTATTTCTTATTCTACCGTCGATGGATGTTTGGGCCGTTTCCTCTTTGGGGCTCCTAAGAACAATGCTGCTGTGCACATTTCTGAGCATGTCTCCTGATTCACATATGCATGCATTTCTTGAGGGCAGTGCTTCTCAACTTTTAAAGGGATCACTGGAGGACGTGTTAACATGCAGATTCTGATTTTCAGTAGGTTGGGGGCAGGTCCTGAGATTCTGTATTTCTAATGAGCTCCCAGGTGATACCAATGCTGCCAGTCCTTGGACCACATGTTAAGAAACATGCATTTGGGCTGAGTCGGAAAAACACTTTTTGTAAAGAGACAAATAAAGCTATTTAGGTTTTGCAAGTCATAGAGTATCTGTCGCAACTACTCAACCCTGCCATTGCAGCACAAAAGCATTCCTAGACAATATGTAAACAAACTGCCATGGTTGTGTTCCAATAAAACTTTATTTACCAAATCAAACAGTGGGCCAGATTTGGCCTGCAGGACATAGTTTGCCAATTTCTGATCTTGGGTATATCCTATGGTTGGCCCACATTCAATTTTAATAGATAATTCCAAAATGCTTTACACACTGGTTGTGTCATTTTCACACTACCGACCAACAATGTATGAGAGTTCCTACTGGTCTACATTCTCACCAGCAAGTGCTATCATCAATCTTTTTGATTTTCTAAACTGGTGGATATGCAATACTATGATTTACTTTTTATGGTTTGCGGGTCAAAGTTAAGCCCATAACAAAAATCCTTCCACTCTCTTGATTTCTTTTGTGCTGTCTCAACCTGCAGAGAATGGGGGGAGAGTTGCAGCTGCCATACCAGCAACATGCACATAAACCAAGGCCATGCTCATGTGCGCCCCAGTGGTATGTGAGTCACTTCTGAATCATCCAGGAGCTTCAAAAAAGAAATTCTTGGACCCTATTCCTCAGCACAACCCATCTGACACACCTTGGTCCAGAGCTTCTCACCATGTGTCTCAGCAGAAGAAATGGAGAACTGCTGTGTTTGGGGACCGGTGGCCACTAAGACTGAGTGTGTGACTTCCCTCACTAGCATACCTGCATTTTCACAAAAGGAAAAGGCTTAAGGCAGAGGAAAGGATCTCTGAAAAGGAGAATGTCAACCATTGCCCAGCTGGTGAGGAGGCGCTGAGAGGGGGAAACCACAGCTTGTTCTGTAACTCTAAAATCTAGGAGCGAGCTCATGCTTTAGTCCTGCCAACAGATTTTTTCATTCATCATCTAATATGTATTTCAATTCTACTAAGTCTATATAGAATCTAGGAAATAATAGCTTCAACTGAATTAATCGTCAGGATTGCACACTACATTCTAAAATTATATTAAAGGTAATGGGAGAATTCCCCATCAAAACAGTAACGATGAAAACTCACCTTTTTCTGATCCCATAAACAGATTCTGTAGAGGCAAAAAAAAAATGGTTAACATTTTTTAAAACTTATTGGAATCTATGACAAAAAAACTTTATACTTAAATTATTATTCATGTAGCACTAAGATAATATGTTCCATCATCTTCCAACAAGCGATTTACTTATCCAAATGAAAAACAAATAGTTATTCAACGGAGGAAAAGACAGGTCCCTAAAGACTCCTGGAGATTCAGACTCTTCTCAATTCAGGACTCTCAAGGTGAGCCAACAAACTGGAAAATTTTGATGACAATGGAGTCACATGAGCCTTTACCTTACTCTCAATCAGGGTTTCACAGCCTCGGCCCTACTGACATGACAGGCTGGAAAATTCTGCTGTCGGGGGGCCATCCTGTGCGCTGCAGGAGGTTCAGCAGCATCCCTGGCCTCTACTCACTGGATGCCACAGCACCCTCACAGCTGTGACAACCAAAAATGTCTCCAGGCTCTGTCACATGTCCCCTGGGGAGTAAAATTACTCCTGGTTGAGAATCACTTCTCTAAATTGACTCGGTGCATTCAGAATAAGAATATTAAACAGTCCAGCAATTCTGCCTGCCATTCTCCTCCACAAGCACACGCCCCGGGAGGAGGAGGAGAGGAGAGGTGTCGGGCTGAGCCTTCCCAACTGCTGCCGAGTTCATCCCACCCTCCCGACTCACGCACGGCCCCGATTTCTGATGGGCACACTGTCCCACTTCCCAGCTTCCCTTGCATCTGTGTATGGCCCGTGACTACCTTCAACACAAATGTAACTGGACGTGTTGACGGGGACTCCGGGAAGTCTCCTTAAATGAGAAAAGGTGTCCCCTACTTTCCCCCTTCCTCCTTCTAACAACCTGGACATGAGGTGACCCTGAACACGGCAGGGCATCGAGAGAGAGAGCTGGGGGCCAGCCCAGCAGCGCAGCGGTTAAGTGCGCACATTCCACTTAGGTGGCCTGGGGTTCGCTGGTTCGGATCCCGGGTGCAGACATGGCACCACTTGGCGAAAGCCATGCTGTGGCAGGCATCCCACATATAAAGTAGAGGAAGATGGGCATGGATGTTAGTCAGGGCCAGCCTTCGTCAGCAAAAAGAGGAGGATTGGCAGCAGTTAGCTCAGGGCTAATCTTCCTCAAAAAAGAATATAAAAAAATAAATAAATAAAAGACAGACAGAGCCAGATCCCTGAAGATTCTGGAGCTGCCATAGCAGCCCTGGACCACCCAGCTCTTGTTTACGTCATCAGGGAGGGCTTGCGTTCTAAGCCAGTGAACCAGTCCTCAATACAAGGGGCACTAACCGGCTCTCCCTGGCTGGTCCCAGCTCTTCTGAGCCGCTCACTGAGCGACTGGCCACCTGGAGGCTAACTCTCTACTTGCTACATGCCCCCAGGCACAAGCCAACGACTTGGCCTAGCCGGCCCCTAGAGAAACAGTGAACTTCCAGCTCTGGCAGAAAGCCCGGCTGTGCCGGACTCTGAGTCACAGTAGGAAGTAAAGCTTCATGGGGTGGCACTCTCCCCACCTCACGACTCCAACCTCCAGCAGAGACGGGGCTCCACTGTTCCACTTCTTCCTCTGAACTGTGCCACACCCGATTCTTAACACATTTTTTTGAGCAACCAATCAGCACGTTTTCTCCCAACTAACACTGACATAACAGGTGAAACTTATAGAGCCCAGGAGTTGGGGCAACATAACCGTGATATTGTGATTTATGATAAGAAATATAAATTCAGTCTTCCTCGAGTTCCGGCCCAGAGCTCCTAAAACTCTTGGAACTTCCTTAAGGGATAAGAGTGATAAAGGCATCTTTTGTTAGGTTAACCAAGTGACTTTTGGAAAGTGCCTAAGGCTGGGGGCTGGCTGTGATTAGAGGTCTGGAACCTTCAGCCAGCCAACCAACCAACTGCAGGGAGAGGGGCTGGAGGCTGACTGATCACCAATGGCAGATGAGTTAATCACGCCTATGTAAGGAAGTCTCCACGAAAACCCAAAAGGATGGGGCTCAGAGAGCCTCCAGGTTGGGGAACCAGAACACATCCACGTGCTGCCGTGCTGGACCCCAAACTCCACGGGGACAGAGGCTCCTTTGTCTGGGACCTCACTCCGTGTATCTCTTCATCTGGCTGCTGAGTCATATCCTTTACGATCCTCTGTAATAAACCAGTAACCCAGTGAGTAAACTGGTTTCCTGAGTTCTGTGAGCCATTCTGGCAAATTAATCGAACCCACAGAGGGGTCGTTGGAACCTCTGATTTGTAGCCAGTCGGTGAGAAGCACAGGTGACAACCGGGACTTGTGACTGGCATCTGAGGTGGCGGGCAGCCTCCTAGGACGGAACGCTTACCCTGTGGAATCTGACGCCATCTCCAGGTAGACAGTGTCAGAATGGAGTTGAACTGCAGGACACCAGCTAGTGTGGGAGAATTGCTTGGTGTGGGGGAAAAACCCGCACATTGGAACTGGGTGCAGAATCATAAAAACAAAAAGAAATGGCTACTCAATCTGAAGTAGAGCCTGGGAGAAAAGTGCACCGTACTCACGATGGAGAGCTTTTCTGTGGTAGTGTACCGGGCAAGGATTTCTCCTCGCTTGCTGGCCCAAGGCTCAAAATCGGATCCTACGATGGAGTTATCCTCTCTCTCACGTTTCTTTCTGGAACTGTCCTGAGGAAAGGCAAGACAATCTCTTCAGCAGCACTATCGTTTTAATCTTGAGAAAAAGTGCAAGTAAACATGGGACTACAGTTGATAACATGGTACTGTTTAATGGAAAATTGCTGAGAGGAGAAATTAAATGTTCTCACCTCAAAAAAAAAAGAGGTAAATCTGTGAGGTGATGAATGTGTTAACTCAACGGGGGGAATCTTTTCATAATGTGTATGTATATCAAATCATCACGCTGTACACTTTAAATATCTTACAATTTCATTTGTCAATTATACCTCAATAAAGCTAAAAAAAAAAACTATAAGCAGAAGACAGTCCCTCATTGCAGAATAAAACAGATCTGTCAACGGTTTCCTATGATAAAAAATTCTTCAGTCTGATTCACCAAAAATGGCCAATAAATATATCAAAAGATGCTCAAACTCATTAAGAATCAAGGAAAGGGGGCCAGCCCAGTGGCGCAGCGGTTAAGTGCGCACGTTCTGCTTCAGCAGCCTGGGGTTTGCTGGTTCAGATCCTGGATGCGGACATGGCACCACCTGGCAAGCCACGCTGTGGCAGGCGCCCCACACATAAAGTAGAGGAAGATGGGCACGGATGTTAGCTCAGGGACAGTCTTCCTCAGCAAAAGAGAAGGATTGGCAGCAGATGTTCGCTCAGGGCTAATCTTCCTCAAAAAAAAAAAGAAAGAAATTAAAAAAATAAATAAATAAATAAATAAATAAAAGAAAGGCAAACTGAAAGAGATCATTTTCCAACAAGGAGAAAGGCAAAGAGTTAAACTGACTGATAATATCCATGTTGGCAAGGATGAAGGGAGACAGGCCCTCTGAAACACTGCTGGTGGGCATACATATAAATTGGCGAGGACTTTCTGGAGAACAATTTGGCAGCAGCCATCAAAACCTTAAATACACATTGCCTTAACTCAGTAATGAACTTCCAAGAAGTTACCCTGCAGAAATCCTGGCACGTATGCACCAAGATGCATGCATGTTCAAGGACCAGTGCACCACTGTCTATACCAGCAAACACCAGGAACAGTCTGTGTGTCCATCATTAGAGGAATGGTGAATTCAAGTAGATAATGCCTACTCTTCAGGATACAACGCAGCGGTTCAAAATAACGTTGTTCTATAAGTACTAATATGGAAAGTTCTCCAAGACATATAGTCAAGTTAAGAAAATATATATAAATATAGTTCAATTTATGTAAAAAAAAAAAAAATATGTAGAGATGTATGCACTGCCAGCACAGAATGATGGTCGAGAGTGTGGATTCAGAAGTCAGACTGGCCGGGTTTGAATTCCAGCATAGATGTGACTAAGCATCTCTATTCCTCCGTGTGGGCCCCTTTAAATGAGATTATAATACCTCTCTCACGAGGTAGTAAGAGAACTAAACTCAGAAAGTACCTGCCACACAGTAAGCTCATACTACTACCGTTGTTAGTACTTATATATGAGTATGTACATAAATGCTAAGAAATTACTGTCATAAATACCTATGAAATCACAAAGAAAAAGTACAGAAGAACACACATTACTCTGTTAACACTGATGACCTCCAGGGTGGCTAATAGAATAAAGAGAATTGATCAATAGGACTTCATCTGTAATGTTTGACTCTCTTACATAAATAATTAGTGAATTACTTATGTAATTACACAAAAATAAATCCAAGGGCTGGGCTGGTGGCATAGCACTTAAGATCACGTGCTCTGCTTCAGCGGCCCAGGGTTCACGGGTTTGGATCCTGGGCAGAGACCTGCACATCACTCATCAGGACATGCTGTGGCAGCAACCCCCATACAAAAGAGAGGAAGACTGGCACAGATGTTAGCTCAGGGACAATCTTCTTCAGCAAAAAAAAAAGAAAGAAAGAAAGAAAAAGGAAAAAAAAATCCAAAAGAAAGAATTATAAAAAGAGTAAAGTTAAAACAAAGAATTTTAAAATGTTTTAAAAAAAAAAGGAAGAAGCTTCCAGGATCCACAGCAGCCTCTCACCGGCAGCGTCATTCTCTATAAGCAGTACCCTGTGGATGCGTGGATTATTCGAACTGTTACAACGAGAATGCGCCCATGCATTACTTGTGCAATTTGAAAACAAAAAGATGAGAAAGCCCCACCCCTACACCCGCAGGACCAACCAGCAGCTGGACGACTGCTGGCGGGGTGTGTTACCGTGGCAGCCGCCGTGGCTGCGGGGTCAGCAGTGGCTGCGAACATGGAGAGGGGGTCGGTCCCATCCAAGACACTGCTCAGCGGGTCCACCACGGAGCTGGAGGAAGAGGAGGACGTGGAAGACGTGCTTCCTTTCCGGCTCACTTTCTTTGTCTTTGACTCTGTGACCTGTGGGGAAAACTCGTGGACGTAAACGATAGTCTCCTCTGACTTTTCCCAATGACACGCTCAAAGGGGGTTTCCCTCATTCTGTTAGTTCAACCAACCTTTCCTTGCAAGCAGGGACGCTTACTTTTTGTGACAAATTGACTTGACTCAGAACCCCAGCTGTCAGGGAAGGGAGGGTGGGAGGTTAGGGTCAGGAAGGAAGAGACGGGGCCATCACGATTTAGAAGGTGGTGAGCTAACTGCAGTCTTGTGGGGCCTTCTTGCTCCAAGTGTGGTCCCTGGACAAGCAGCATCCACATCACCCGGGAGCTTACAAAACATGTAGCATCTCGAGCCCCGCCCCAGACCGACTGCATCAGAATGCGCGTCTTGCAGCAGTGGTCCAGGCAGGGTCATGAACCTAAGATCCCAGGGCCACCGTACTCTGAAGACAGCCTCAGTGGCTCTGCACGGCCATCTCATCTCGCAAAGCAGTGAACGCCCAGCCACTTCCTTTCTGGAGAACTTCTCACCGTGCCTCATCCTGGTGTCGGTGCTGAGGGCAGGTGGGGTGTTGGGGTATGAAGCCATGTTTTTGTTCCACCGGCCCCGATCCCTTCCTGACTTCAGATGACGACCAGGGTGAAACCCTGAGCTAAGGGGATCCCACCAGAGTCTCCCTGCCGAAAATTCAGGATCCACATCCAGAGGGCTAGTGGGCTCCACTCCTTTTGAAATGAGGAAGCTACGAAAACCCAGGGCCTGAGGGACAGCGATGGACGCTTTGGGCACGCATCCGTGGGGAAGCAGAGAAAACCCTCTTCAGAGAAAAAGAGAGAGGAGGAGGGTGTAACAACAAAGAGAGAGTGTTGGCTAAAGGAGGATCTGAGGGGCCTTTGTCCCTGGTTCCTGGAAAGGAGACCAAGTCCTTGGAGTGGCTGGTATTCCTGAACCCCTCGATCACACCTGAGTTTACGCTAATGAGATGACGCAGCATGGGGACCGGTCACAAGAAAGACCAACCATGCGATTAGAGGCTTGGGGCTTTGCGCCAGCTGATATCAGCCTGACCTTCGGGGTGGGGAGGGAGGCTGGGGACCAAGTTCAATCACGTGGCCAAGGAATCACTCAATCACACCTACGTAATGAAACCCCAATAACAAGTCTGGACACCAAAGCTCAAGGGAGATTCCCAGCTGGTGAACACACGACACGCTGCAAGGTGATGCGCCCTGATTCCATGGGCAGAGGGCGTGGGCGCTCTGCATTCGGGACCCCCCCCAGACCTCGCCCTGTGTGTCTCTTCATTTGGCTGGTCTTCATTCGCATTCTTTATAAGAAAACTGTAAACATAAGTATGGCGTTCTCCTGAGTTCTCTGAGTTGTTCTAGCAAATTATCAAACCCTAGAAGGTCTTGGGAAATCCTTGGATTTGTAGCCAGTCGGTCAGAAGTGCAGGTGGCCTGGGGACATTTGCAGCTGGTGTCTGAAGTGAGGGCAGTCTTACTGAAGACCCTTCCCTAAACCGGTGGGGTCTGACCCTAACTGTGGGCAACTGGGCAAAGCTCCTCCCACGGGGGCAGGTTTGTCGTCTTTTCTCTGCCTGGCATCCATTCCTTCCTTTCTGAGGCTCAACAGGCCAAATTTTCTTTGGGAAGGCAGCCCTCCCCGACTCTCAGCTCCTGCAGGCCTGGTGGGATGGACTCTGCTCCCAGTTTCCCAGGTGGGCACTGGCCCCATCCCAGTCAGCGTATTCTCTAGCCCGGTCACCAGGGCTGGTTCAGGGAAGGAAGGACACACAACCCAACCGGGTAAATGAAAATTGCTGAAGGGAATGTCCCTGCAGTTGTGTTGCTGAGCCAGCAGGCTGTGAGCTCGGAGCCGCTGCAGCTAGCCTGTTACCACGTCGGGAGCGAGTTCCTGGGAATGCAACCCACTCGTTGGTGGGTCAGCCACAGCCACACGAGCCCCTGGGGATCTGAGGGGCCCTGGGAGGCCGAAGCTCGGCCTTGTGACCTCCTGCTTTCCGTAATTGCCTCTGTGTGCTCTCAGGTCCTCTGCTATTGAGAAATTTTAGGTCCTCGGTATCCACTGGCATCTGTCCCTCAAGCTCGTTTCCACCCGTGCTGGCCACCGCATGGCTGCTATCACTTACTAATAAAGAGTGCTTACCCAGAAGAGAGGACCACCTCACCTCTCGCCTGCTTTTTGTCCTGTTTTGTTTCTTTAAATAATCTCACAGATAGACTAAGATGCTATTCAGGACAGCGCCCTGCGCTGGTAAGTAGAGGATTCTTAATATTCCAAACAGGCCAATGAATAAGCAAGATGTATTTTGTTCACACCTCCACATCAGGAACAAGGGCATCCCATACTCATGACAACCTCACTTATACGAGAAAGGGAGAATCAAAATGATGGAGGGTGAGGCCAACATCACAAAAATGGGGCAGGGAACAAACTGGTTGATTGAAACATGCAAAGAGACTAACACTGGCAAAATGGAAAGACCCAGGAATACCGCCTGCAATTTTCTGGAACATCAGTTAGAGAGGCCCCTGGCAAAACTTACAGTTATGGGCTTCAGTGGGTGATAGTCCCCAAACTCCAGCGGTACAGCCTCCAACCGGCATGATGCAAATTCAGCCTTGTAGTTCCTATGCCTGGAATGCCTGGTGAACAGCAAAACCCAGAAACCAGTCAGTTGATGGGGATAAGCAACACACTAAACACTGTTTGCTGAGACTTCCTCAGTGATGAGGTAGTTTATAGGGGAATGGTATTTCTACCAAGACAAGCAAGAAAGAATAAATAAATTTGTTTAACAATCTGTTGGAAGCTCCAAGGAGCTGCCAAGGCATACAGGACCTGCAAGGCCAGACAGCAGAACAGAGGGAAGCTCACGGAGGGGAACCGAGTGTTCCTCACCCAGCTCTCCCTCACAGCATCGACTCATCCTGGCACAGGACAAGAGGGCGAAGCTGGGCAGAGGGCAGCTGCCAGGAGGCAGAGCAGCCAAGAGCTCTAAGGAACCTCACAGGGCTGGAGAGAGAAGTTAGGGCCAGGGCTGTCGAGACAGCCGGGCTTGAAGGGAGAGCTTCTGAAGAAGGGAGGGCAGAGAAGTGAAAATCCTGGCCTGGCCTCCCCTCAAAGTACTGGCCAATTAAGCTGTGTAGAGCAGGAGAAAAAGCCAGGCAGAAAGCAGAGGAAGAGCAGATGGTTTTCATCAGTCTTGTGGGGGTTAACAAATGAGATGGAAGATGAAAGGGGAGAGAGGATGCTTCCCACATTGAAGCACGGAGAGGAAAAGAGATGGGGAGCACAGAAGAGTGGAGAAGACAAAGGGACACGAAGAAAAGGTCTAACACACATACATCTGGAACCCAGAGGAGAGGAGAGAAAGGATGGATGGGAGCAGCATCTGAAGAGATGGCAGCTGAAATTCTTCTCAAACCAAAGAAAGACATCAAGCTACAGAGTCAAGAAACACTCGTGCCCCAAGCACAAAAACCAAACAGAAACAACCACACTTAGGGCCTCCAAGGTAAAACGGCTAAAAACTAAAGAGAGGGGGTGTCTTAGGAGAAAAGGAAAACATTATTTTCAAAGGACAACAGTAAGATTATTATCTCAGCACAGAGAGGAGAGCCAGAAGACAAAGGAATGACACCTTTAAAGTACGTGCTGAAAGAAGATAATAGCCAACCAAGAATTCCACACCTAGTGAAACGCTCCTTCAAACACAAGGGCAAAAGAAAGGAGTTCCCAATCAAAGAAAAGTCAGCAGCAGCCGCAGCAGAACCACGTTTTAAATTAAAAAAAAAAAATGTTAAAGGAAAATAATTCCAGTTGAAAGCAAAAGATATGTATAGATATTTAGTTACATATATATGTAAATACATAATATATATACATAACATAACATATATACTACAGAGTAACAAAAGAAGGGTGTGGGTAAAACTAAATGAATATTGACTGCAGAAAATAGTTTATAGAGTTCAAAATACATGTAGAGTTAAAATCGTGACAACGAGAAGATAAAAGGCAAGAGAGGTGCTGTGGTCCGGAAGTTTGTGTGCCTCCAAAATCCACAGATTGAAATCGTAACCCCCAAAGGCAACAGTACATGGAGGCGGGGCCTCTGGGAGGTGCTAAATCACGAGGGTGGAGCCCTCTAAACGGGATTAGTGCCCGTATACAAGAGGCTCTGGAGAACCCCCTCATCACATTCACCACGTGAGGACACAGCGAGAAGGCCCAGGACATGACCCAGGAGGAGGGCCTTCTCCTGGCCGTGCTGGCACCACGACCCCAGACGTCCTGTCTCCAGGACTGTGAGAAATAAAGTCTTCTTGTTTATAAGTTGCCCAGTCTGCGGTACTTTGCTGTAGCAGCCCAAACAGACTGAGATAGGAAACTGGTACCAAGAGCAGGGTGCTGCTGCCGCAAACACCTGAAGGCGTGGAAGCGGATGCTGGCAGAAGCCAGAGTCCCGAGGCACAAGCTGCAGAGAGCCGCTGCTGCAATGAACTGTTCAGGGCTGCTCCAGCCAGGGCTCAGAGGAAGAGGGCAGCTGCAGAGAGCTTCGACCTTCTCCCATCGTACCTAAGCAGTTGTGAAGAGAACGTGGCATAAATGGGGCGGCAGAGCCATTCTCTTGAGGCCTCAGACGGAAACTGGAGGAAAAGTGATCCTTGTTTTAAATGGCTGAACTGTGTCTGTGACCTAGTGTTTCGTGCAAGGTAAAACTTGCGAGCCATGAAACTACAATTTGGCTGAAGAAATTTCTAAGCAGTGTTGAAGGAGTGGCTTTGCTTTTCTTGAATGCTTATGGTAACACTGGAGAAGAGAGAAAGGATGTAAAGATGGAATGGCTAATCAAAAGGGAAAGAGAACTTGAATATTCGGAAAATTCTCAGCCTGTCCATATTGAAAGAAATAAGAAAATGTGTTCATTGGGACTAGCCCTCCCATCATTGGGGTGCCAGAGCCAGTGGGCCACTGCTGCCACCTCACACTGGGGGCTCACTCCCCGAATCCCGGCACCCCAATCCTCAGCCATCCCAGGTGTCATGAATAACATTTCGTCTTTAAGAAGAGACATGGGCAGGTCCCATTTGCAAAATATCATCTTCCAGAAAAACAGCTTTTCTGGGCACACAGAACAATTCCTCCCTCCCCACCCGGCTTTAGGGAAAACAGCAGCTCAAACAGCAGAAGAAGCCAGGCACTTTGTCCCTTGGCCTCGACATCCCCTGAATTCAGCCCTCCCCACCCACAACCCCATTCCGAGCGTCATGACTTCACTAATCTCTGCAGGCAACATAGCAGCCCGATCTAACTGTGCCACGCAATTAGTCAGCTCTCCCCAATATCCCCCGCTAATCCAGAAACCCAATCCAGCACAAAAGAACTGAGCTCCCATGTCATCTCGCTTCCATCCCTTTCTAAATACACTTGGCTTTGAGTGCTGGAGAGGAGAAAGGCTACTTACCCATAGGGACCAGCCTCTCCTTCTACTTCCTTTGTAAAGGAAAATCCTGCCACAACATATGTCTACTCCCTCCGGGTTACATTTTACAAAATATACACTGTCTTTCCCTCCCAAAATATTGCAATTGAAGTCATTTATGAAATATTCTTCCAAACTCTTTTTAATATGCTATCGGCCAATTCTTGATTTACAAGACAAAACGCCCAAGAATAAATAAATTGGAATCATCGTCAGCAACAGCCATAATGGAGTTTTAAAAATCAAATTACCCTTTTCCTCCTTTCAGATCACTCTTAATCAGTTGCCAAGAAAAATAGAATTTTGCAAAGTTAATTTCACAGAATGGGCAGAAATGTAATCTGACCTGAAATTCAGTTGCAAATGTGTTTTTCATCCCCAAAATAATTATTAAATCAATCAACAGCTGAGAAAGGCACTGTTATCAAAACAGCAATATGGCTTGATACACAATTAAATAATAGTTCTCATTTGTTCTGTGCTTATATACCAGGATCCAGGCCAACCCCTTTACCCCCATTTCCTCATTCAATCAATCCCATGAGGTAGGTACGAGGATTATGCCCATTTCTCAGATGGAGAAGCTGAGGCTGTTACTGTGGTGCTAACTTAGGAGAGGCGAGCAAGTGATAGAGACAGGTGTAGACAGAGGCAGCCTGTCTCTGAGCTTCAACAGTTCTATAGATCATCTGGAGGTCAACTGGAGAACGTGAGAAATTAAGCAATTGTCTTTTTTTTTTTAAAGGACCAAGTTTTGAAATGATTTTTTAAAAAACGTTTGGGGGGAGGGAATTCTTTGAGGAAAAAATACTGCTTCCGGAAAAACCTTAAAAAAAAAAAAGGAAACATTTACCCTTCCTGAAAATCCATGTCAAATTGCTATATTTTGATTTTTCTATCACTTCTTCCACGATTTTCTCAAATTTGCTCTCTGCTCCCTAGCGTTCCCTGCAGTTTGGGATGTTAAAGCATCTTCTGCAATGTCTACGTCTTTGCGAAGGACAACAGTGACCTCCAGTGGGCATTTTCTCAAAAATCCTGTTTTTCCTGCTAACAGCTGATACAGCTGGTAAAAATCCCCCATAATCCCAGCTCCCAGCCATGCAAAAGGCTCGTCTGCCTCTGCAGCAGTGGCCACAGAAAAAAAGGCCAACGTTTCACACCCCCATTCCTGGCTACCCGAAGCGTGGTCCAGAGGTCACCAGCAAGGGCATCACCTTGGGAGGGTTGAAATACCCCAGACCTACAGAATCAGCATCTGCACTTCAACAAAATCCCCAGGTGATTTAGGCACGTTAAAGGGTGACAACCCCCTAGTTTTAAATTATTTGCATCTGATAATATGGATACACATAAATTCCATTACCAGTTTTCAAATTAATTTCCTTATACTGGAAATGCCAAAATCTACTAAATGCTTCTTGTCAGCTTTTTTAATTCTCAAGTGATTTTTTAATTACTAATGACATAATCCAGCCACACAGTTTTTTCTCCCACAATCACAATATATCCTCCTCCCCAAAAAAGTGCTAAAACAATGTAGAAATTGTGACTCCAAAGAGTAGTTTTTTTTTTTTTTTAAGATTTTACTTTTTTTCTTTTTGTCCCCAAAGCCCCCCGGTACATAGTTGTGTATTTTTAGTTGTGGGTCCTTCTAGTTGTGGCACGTGGGACGCTGCCTCAGCATGGCTTGGTGAGCAGTGCCATGTCCACACCCAGGATTCGAACTGGTGAAACCCTGGACCGCCAAAGCAGAGTGCACGTGAGCTTAACCACTAGGCCACGGGGCCGGCCCCCAAAGAGTAGTATTTTAAAAGGTGCTATTACCACAGGGCTGGACAGGAAATGTGATCCATGATGTACCAGACATCTCGCATGTTAGGCCAGGCCGAAATATATCAGACATGACAAAAAAGTGTGACAAGAGGGAGCCTGGAGGGACGCATGACAATGCAGCGGGACCTGGGGAGCCCCGCAACCCAGAAACCTCAGCCCGGGAGCCAGACTGGAGGAGGTCCAGCTGACAGTCAGAATTAAAATCACTGGCTCTGGGGGGCTGGGCCCACAGCCTAGTGGTTAAAGTTTGGTGTGCTCCACTTCAGCAGCCTGGGTTCCTGGCTTCAGATCCAGGGCACGGACCTATACTATTCGTCAGCCATGCTGTGGTGGTGA